GGGAGACGTCAGACAATGTAACATATGACAAAATAATAATTTATGAATTATGAAAGGTTCATGAGGGAGCGGGGGTGAGGGAGAAAATGAGCAGCCGATATTAAGGGCTCAAGTAGAAGGCAAATGTTTTGAGAATGATGAGGGCAACAAATGTACAGACATGCTTGACACAATGAATGTATGTATGGATTGTGATAAGAATGGTACAAGCCCCCAATAAAATGATTTAAACATATATATATAATATATATATAATATTATATATATATAATAAAATAACAGGTCTTGAGCTTGGTTAGCTCACTAAGGATGTGTGAAAGTGCTGAGCTTGTGAATAGTGTTAGGAGAGTGAAAATCGATGTGCTCTTAAATATATGTATATTTCAAACCCACATCTTTATGAAGGTCAGTGAATTTCAGAAATTCTCTTAAACTATTCCCCTAAACTTGAGTGAGCGGCATAACACCCATAAATCATAAAGTATGTTGTATAGTGCGGTTGTGAACACTTAAAGTTGTTTTATATATTGTTATAATAAAACCCTGTTCTGCATTAAAAAACAAAAGAAAATATATCCTGCATATCAGGTATTTACATTATGATTCATAACAGTAGCAAAATTAGTTTATGAAGTAGCAACAAAAATAATGTTATGGTTGGGGATCACCAAAACATGATGAACTGTATTAAAGGGTCACGGCATTAGGAAGGTTGAGAACCACTGCCCTAGAGAAAGGCAGGCAGGTCTTTTGAGCCTCCGTGGAAGGGGGTTTAAGCCTTTCTGTAAACAATTTATACAGGAAGATTTCATTTAAAAGGATTAACCAAGGGAAAAAATAAGTCTTAAACCAGTATAAAATACCAATTTAGCAGCTATGATCCTAAAAAAGTCAATCTTTTTAAAAAAATGCTCAGTTCAGAAAGACCTAAAATTAAGTAAGCATTATATGAAATGAGCATAATTAAAGCAACATGACTCAGAAAACAGAACTTGTGATTAAATCAGATAAATGTCAATTTTTTTATTTCCCTTGGAAAAGGGTGATTAGTACATTAAATTACTTTTTCAAAGCCTATTCAATGATTAACTACTATTTAAGAGGCAACATCCCTGATGAGAGCTTTTTGCCAACTTAGTAAATATTATTTTAAGCACAATAAGGCTTTCCTACATGACAAAATGAAGCCATGATTTCTTTAATGTCAAATCCACACTGCCTGGAAGTACAGCACTATGATAGATGTGCAGCTAACTCCTCGCTTAACTTGGGTAGGTTCCAGAGAACACCAGGTCATTATGTGGAAATCGATGTTATGTTACCATAGGCAGACCACATCAGCTAATAAAATGGAGATGACTACATTATTACATGGCTGCCAAATTTCATTACTTGTCATATTACATCAATAACTACCAAATTGCAACATCACATGACTGCCAAACTCTTGAGAATCATGGCACTGCCAAATTAACCACTGTAGCCGACGGTACTCTCGTTTCACATCTTGGCACCAGTTGCTGCCAGATGTACGTTATTGAATAGTCAAGACAGGAGGTTTTTCTTTACAATTGGTGGTAAATATGAAATGTCAGCCGACAAGATAGTTGGTAAGTGAGGAGTGGGTATGTTTACAGCAATCATGCTTACATACCTTTGCTGAAATTGCCAATGTGCAGGCAATGCCCAACTCTCCACCTCCAACCACAGTAATTTTACTAATTGCTTTAGTCTCAGGATTTGCCCAGCCCTTTGAATTTATGTCTGAGACACCTACAGAAAGAAGTGGATTATCATGAGAATTTTAAAATGTATCAAAAGTCATTTCAACATCTCTTTAAAAATATAACAAATCTCAAACAGAACACACAGGGTTAATTCACAATTAAAGCAAACAGTTGTGACCAAATCAGCTCTGACTCATTGACTCTATGAAAGCTCACTGAGCAAGGAAGCAGGCTGGCATGTCTAAAGTAAACATCTAGGCTGTTCTGCTGAGGCAACTCTGGATGGAGCTAATCCTCCCACTGTTGGCTAACCATTTGTACTATGCAGGCACTCCAGTCCATAATAAAAGTTTAAAAAAACAACCCTGCTGCTAAGTCAATTCCAATTCATATGGACACTACAGGACACAGAATTTCCCCATGGGATTTTCAAGGCTGCAAATCTTTATAGAAGTCGATTGGCACATTGTTTTCCCGCAGAGCAGCTTGTGGGTTTGAACTGCTGGACTTTCAGAATGGAGGAGAGTGCTTAGCCATTGTGTCATCAGGACTCCTTTTAGTTCTAGTTTATATTAGGCATTCAAGAAATATTTATTGAAATGAACAAATGCAAGTAAAACAAGAGATTTTGGGAAGTTTACAGTCTCATGTTAAATATCCCACTAACTACTAGGGGCTATCCTTTTAAGAAGTATAATTTTCCAAATGTTTTCAAAATATGACTAAGATTTAGGAAACCAGGAAGAGAGTGTATGTGGACAAATTCTCTACACTCATAATAGAGAGTCTGAAAGGCCATGACTCTGGTGGAGGGAGGCCTTCACATCTGTGAGTTGGAGCTGAATCCCAGTCACATTATCCTGACTAAAAATCATCCCCACAATGTCCCCCCACAGTAGTGTTACTTTCAAGATGATTCTTACAAGCAGATGGCTGCTTACTATGTGCTCCGGGCTCAGAGACTATCTGCTGGTAAGAGCAATCAGACTCTACTGTCCGCCCCTCCCAAAGCACAGCTGACTCTTCTGATATTGATCATAGATTGTTCCCCTTGGAGAGAGTTCAGGGGCATCCAAGGTTAAGCCACCATCTTAACTCTGGTACCTGTCCATCCAGTTATGGGCATGCCTCTAGTACCTGCCCACTATGTTACATATGTACTTACTGGGGCTTGCTAGCCCCAAGACTATATAAGCCTGCTGGAGAATACGTTTGCTCTCTTTCTTGTTCCTGGATTCATGGATAGGTGAACACCCTGCATGCTTTGTCTGTCTTGTTATTTTACCTCAATTGCTCAACCGCTCCTGGGTACCCTCTTGGTTGTAAGTTTGGACCTTACAATAAGACTCTCCAAGACATTAAGTTATAATGTATAAAAATCCAAAATGGGATTTCATAATTCTAAAAAAAAAAAATGCTGATTGTTACTGCTCTGGTCTACAATGCCAACCAAACAAAAACAAAGCATTTAGCACCTTACTAGCACTTCTCTATGTGTATCTGACTTCTCAGTGAGAAATATCAAGACTCATAGACCTTTCAATTGAATATACTGAATGAAGTCAACAAGGGCACCTATCATATGATGAAAAAGGCTGGTGATCAATCTATGTTGAGTGATTTAGAACAGGAGTCCCTGGGTGGGGCACATGGGTCAGCACCGGATTAGTAACTGAGAGCTGGGCAATTCACATCCGCTCAGAAGGGCCGCCGGAGAAAGGATGACAGGGAACAGCCACAGCCATGGAACCCTTTGCAGAGTGCGTGTGCTCTGAAACACAAGGGGGCGCCGTAAGTCCCAATTAGCTCTACGTCCACTCAGGGTTTCTTTCTTTCTTTTAACAGAGCAAGACAAGAATGGTTCAGACACACCTTTATTTATGGAAGTGAACTGGAAAGCAAGGAGAGGAAAGCAGGAATCAGTGAGAACGACAACACGCTAACTCTCAAGGCAATCCAAATGTCAGAGTACCAACCTTCAGTGATTTTTGCAATGTAGGCTAGCAAGTCTACCTGCCGCGCCTCATCAGATGACGATCGGGAATACAGGGGAAGTTCTTCTTGAAACTTGGCAATCATTTCTTTAATTAATCCAACAATGACAGATTTAGGCTGTAGAGACACACAGGGAAAAAGTTACATTTTGCTGAAGAGAATACCAAATATACTACTTGGCCTCATGGCAGCTATATATAGAGTTTCTGAGATTGTATTTGTTTATAGTAGCAGCCAGCCTCATCTTTCCCCCTAAGAGTGGTGGTGAGTTTGAATTGCTGACCTTGTGGTTAGCAGCCTAATGCCTAATCCATAGTGTCACCAGGGAGGTACAATGTGAATAATACACCCAGGTGGCTGTCATGAGAAACACATGAGGTAAGCCATGCCAACAGTAAACTGTGAGGGTACAAACAATGTTTGCTATGCTTCTTAGGAAGAACTACTAGTATGTTGTGGTGACGGGCAATTTCTTAACATGGCATTTTCATCCATTTCTCTCCCACCAGATGATTGGGTAGAACCTTATCAATAAGGTATCTCTCATCGCCATCAAGTCAATGCTGACTCAGAGCGACCCGACGGGGCAGGGTAAAACTGCCCCTTGAATTTCTGAGCATTAACTCTTTGCGGCAATAAAAAGCTCCATCTTCCTCCCAGGGAGCGCCTGGGTAATTCCAACTGCAGAGCTGGGGCTAGCAGCCCCATTTGTAACCAGTATGCCACCAGAGCTCCAAGTAAGCTAGGGAGGACTCTAACTCGGGGATCAGTCAATTCTGCCATTCCCCTGCTGTGCTAAACTGAGGACTTGGTAGAAAGTACTTAAATCTTATTTCTACACTCACAACCAGGGGTCCGGAAAACTAGCCCTATTTTGAGAAAGATCTCCCTTGTCTTGAGATAGAAATGTTTTCAAATACATGTTCTCCAAGCCAAATAGAACCACTGACTGTATCCCTAAGGTTTTATGAGCCTCACTTATGGTAACCTGTTAACTTTCCAGGAAACCTCCGAGGTTTCCTGGTAAACCTCGGCGAAATGACCTTGCGATCCCCACCTACTTTAAAATTCTATATCATTATACTACATCTAACTAGACAACGTAATTATCATCTCAACTACATGTGGAGTTTAGGGGTGGTATCTCTAAATAGGGCAATCCAAACAATGTCATGTCTTTTGAAAACTTAATTTATACCTTGTCAATACTGTCTAAACTGTAATCAAGCACCACCTCAATTAGGTCATAAGACTAGCTCTGATTATTTATTAAACAAATAAGGAGATGAGATGCCAGCGAAAACTAGAGAAAGGAAATACTTAAAGGAAATATGATCCTGTATGTATTTCAAACTACTGTCTGAGGATGCTTGGGGGTAAAGGAGGTGGGGAGTAAAAAATGGATGAAAGATACAAGCAGAGAATGCATCAAAAGAAAAACACAGAGTAGGGGAGGGAGGGATAAAAAGAGGAGTTGCTTCCAAGGGCTCAATAGAAAGTAAATGTCCAAAAAAGAATGAAGGCAACATATGCACAAACATGGCTGATTCAAATGATGCATGAATTGTAACAAGAGTTGTAAGAGCCCCTAATAAAATGATCTTTTAGCAATTAAAAAATATATATTATTTTAAAAATATAAAATTATTTTATTTTTCAAACTTTATATCATAAACCTATGGGGGGAAAAAGAAAAACGACAACATGGTTGATATTATATGAAAAAGATTTTCATTTCCAAAACAAGTACTGAAAATTAAAATAAGGGTTCCATTTTGTCTTTCCAACTGGAAAATTTGCATTATGCCCTAGTCATTGCATTTGGCCCCTGGTTAGTACAACTGGGTAAGTGCTGACTATCAGCAAAAAGGCTGGCGGTCAGACTCTACAGCAAGCACCGTCGGAGACAGGCCTGGCTGCCTGCTTCGGGAAATCACAGCCCTGCAAACCCTATGAAGCAATTCTAGTCTGTACACTGTGAATCAGAATCAGCTTGGTAACCACATTCTTCCCACTTCACTGACAATCTATTTTAACTCAACAAATGCTGCAGATAATATACAAGTTCCTAAAGTAAAGGGCTAATGTCTTCCCACCTCATTCTCCACTGTTAACAATTTGATGGGTCCTTTCTTTTACTCTTTCTTTTTTCCTCTTTAAATTTTTCATATTTGAAATACATAAAAACAAAGTAAAAGGCACCATAATTGTTTGCCCTTAAGAAACAATTGTTTTGCTGTTGTTGAGAACACAGAATTCAGCAGTTGCCACGTGTACCCCTTAGCGATACTGACTGTATTCTTGGACCGTGCTCACCGTCCTTTTTGTCTGAGTTGTTCCTCCCCCTGAGCATAAATTTACTGCCCTCTCCTGTTCCTTTCTAAGATTCAAAGTTGTTCTTTTCGATTTGATCCCAATGGATCCTAAGAGAGCGCAATGCTGAAGGCGGAGATTTTTTGCTAGTTGTTTGGTTTCACAGAAACTTCAGGGATATTTTTTGGCTTACAGTTTAAAGACAATCTCAGGGCAAGTTTCAGGGGTTTATCTAACTTTTATGGCTCCAGGACAACTAGAGTCCATGAAAATGTCAAATTCTGTTCTAAATTTCCCGCCTTTTGATGAGGATTCTTCTACAGAGAGTTAGATCAAGATATCCAGTATCTGGTGCCAGCCAGTTCTTCTGGTATCCCAGCAGAGGAGGCAGTTATTTATGGAAGACGTGAAGCATGCAGCCCATATCCTCCCCCGACTCCCCTTCTTCCTTTGTTGTTCCACGGGAATAGACACCCATCCTTGTGCCCTGGAGGGTTCTGTATAAGCGTTTAGCGCCCAGGCACTACGTAACAAAATAGAGTAAATCAATCACTTCCTTTTTTAAACAGGAGAAATTCAAAAGAACAGGTAATTTCTTAATTTGGAAGTGGTATGAGGGTGTTGGTTGGGTATTATACTACATTTAAAAATTATTTACATCCACACAATTTTTGGATGTCTTTTTCTTTTAAAAAAAATCATTTTATTGGTGGCTCGTACAACTCATCACAATCGATACATACAATTGGATGTGTATTTCACACTTAGGAAAAATGGGGAATGATACAGTGTACTATAAACTAGGGCTATAATTTGACTAGCAGCACGAGTCAATAAGAATTTTTCTCTTCAAAAATCTGCGTGCATTGACAGCTTGGCCAGCTTCGGGAGGAGGGCGATCAGACTACACATCAGCCAGCAGCTCCAGAGCACCAACGAGACGAGGGCTGGGCGGCTGTTACCAGTAACATCAAAGCGGATGTGGATCTTCAAGCACCAAGTGAACTTACACATTGCCATTTAGGGCCAACCTTACTCCTAAACCTGGTGAAAATGTCACTTATGAATTCTGAAAAGGTGCCCATCCCCAGAAAAACCCAAATATACTTCAGGTCACTGGACCACAGTATACTTTTAAAAATCATAAGGATACAAAAATGGGATTGAAATTATCTGACCATACTCTCTTCTATTTTGTTTAATCTTCCCTAAATGTCAGGCCCAAGTATTTGTCAGTTAATAGTATGGAAATAAACCAGAAGCTCCAAATCCCTTGATTCACTCTTTGTTGAAATTGGGAGATGCATCCATAGGCTATAAAGTTTCAGTTCCCAACCGAACAGAAGCTCCAGGAGTCATGGAGCTTCTATCTTTTGTGTTCAGTCCTGGATCACAATGCCTGGCACGTAAGAGGCATCCAAGTAGAGAAGAAAACGCAGGAAGGTAACTTAATGGGAAATTCGGAAGGAAGCAGAGCATGGCCTGGAGAGGCTCTCTTAACGTACATTTAGGAGGAAGCATTTTATATAGCTTGTTCTCAGAGAAGTGAGTAGCTTGTTTGCAAGAAACTTTCTTGTGCCAAGGGCTTAAGTGGAGAGTGGATGTTTTGAGGATGATGAGGGCAATGAATGTACAAATGTGCTTTACACAATTGATATATGTATGGATTATGATAAGAGTTGTATGAGCCCCTAATAAAATGATTTTTTTTAAAAAGTAACGAGAGAGAGAAAAAAAGAAAGAAAACTTTCTTGTGAGATCCTAAGATGCTGTTTTACTTTAATCTTGAGTCTATGACGTCTGTTTTAGATGCCTGAAACATTTACTCATTATATGTTTGTTATGGGAAATTGAACTGAGAAAGAAGAAAGAAACTGAACTTCTCGGGTTTGTTCATGATTCATTGACCTTGTGAAAACCCACACAGCACTGCATCATAGCCTTTGTTCGCTTGGAGTTCAGAAAAACAGCTACTTCCCTCCTTGCACAAGTTTATACAAGTAAAAAAATGAATGACATTATACTTCAATACCTGATTATTATTTTTTAAATGGTAATGATATCTTTTAAAAATGAAAGCCAAAATACTTTTCCCTGTAGGATTTTTGAGAAATATAGTAAAATAATGTATACATGCTTCAGGTGAATATCTACCTGAATCACAATAGGCTATTATTATATAAACCTTAATCTCAAGGTATCATTATTATCTGTAAGGTATGATCCCTTACTTTTGTCTGAATCTCAAATTACTTTAAAAAACATTTAATTAATAGAATTCCCATAAGATGCAATATTTTACTTACCTTTATCATTAAGATTAAAGATAAATATGCAGAAATATAAAACTTATTGGAAAAAAATTTGAATTGATCTTACATGGCTCCAGTTTTGGAGATAGGGCAAATATATTCTGCCTTGAGCATCCACATGTTTCCCAACTGATATTCCCATATTTGCAGTTGGCTTCAAGAAGCAAATGGGTGGGGCAAAAGGGTGAGAATCCAAAATCCACAAGCAAATTGGTATGTTATACGTATTCCCTATTTGAGATAAAATGAACACATATACAAGCAACAATGCAGTATGTCCATTATATTTATGGTTTGGTTAGGCATCATTTTAAGAAACACTGGGCACATATATATTTATGTATATATTTTATAAATATGTATAAATGTATATTTATAAATTTTATATATATTCATGTATATCAAGGCCTGTTGTTCCCATTATGTTCATATTTACACTAGAGATACATTCCCATTAGGATAATACCAGTGTAACTTTTAAGTAAATTTAATTAGGACAATGACCAGCCCATTCAAGCCTATAAGGAATTACAGGGCATATTCTGTCAAAAGTTTGGGATACAGCATCATCTCTATGTAATCTGCTTTGCTTAACCCAAACAGAGCTATCGAACTTTTCTTGAAAGGCATCACTTCACTTTAAAATTTACTCTGGATTGAAATGATTTGCTTATAGATCTGTTTCTCCTTCTCTAATGTTAACTTATAGAAGGGATTATGCCTTATTCATATCTATAACTCCAACACATACTGGGTGTTCAATAAAAGTTCCTTAAATGAGTAAGAGTGAATAAACAAACCAATGAAAATGAACTAAAATGAATCTGATGCTGGCTTTCAAGGAGCTCAAAAATTGTATATACTATCACATACAAATTACTGGATAATATTTTGCAGAATGGGAATTACAGAATCGTCATGTAGCTGTGCTGTCATTGTTAGCAACTGCAGGGCACACCATTCACAACGGAAAGAAATGCTCTACGCCATCCCCATGATGGGATACAAATTAGTTTGCTGTGATCCATAGGATTTTCATTCACTGATTTTTGGAAGTAGATCCCCAGGCCTTTCTTCCTAGTCTACCTTGGTCTGGAAAATTATTCAACATCATAGTCACAATGCAAACACCCAGGGACTAAAAGGGTGGCTGCTGTGTATGAGGTGCACAGTCCGGAATCAAACCTGGATCTCCTGCTTGGAAAGTGAGGTTCACCACTGCACCATCACTGCCCACAACGAGCCATATGGATTTGGATAAGCCTCCCACTAGGCTGAAATTGTTTCACCTATTAAATGGGATAATGCTATATCAAATGGAGGAGTAAAAAGGAACAAAACATCAGTGTATGGAGAAAAAGATGAGACCCTGGTAGCTTTCTACAGAAAGCAGGGGGAGTTTTCTACAAGGTTGAACCTACAGCCTCTCTTGGTCTCTTCTCTACCCCAGAAAAAAGCACAGTAGGAGGTAATCATTGCCACTTACAAAATATTTTTGAAATGGAATCCAACTTGTTGGCACTAACCTAAGCGTTCCTTGACCAGGATGGGACCCTGTCATGCCCTGTGAGATTCTGTACAGATCACACATATATGAAAATACTTTGTAAATGTTAAGTTCTCATTAAATGGATTGGTTTTTAAGAAAATGCCCACATTCAAACTCCCAAACTTACCCTGATACATCACCGGAATCGTGCCAGTAAAATTCAGCAGGTCTCTCTGGGAACTATCTTTAAAAACTGGAAAGGAAAAAAGCCCCCAAGTATGCAATCAGAAGTAAGGGAGAAAAACAAAACAAAGCTGTATCAACACAAACACACATTTACAGTCTCTAAAAATCATCATCACCCAGGAATCACTAACAACACTGACAAGGGGGAATGACTAGACGCCATTTTCTTAAAAGGTGAAGGAAGACGGCTGGAAGGATGTGAGGCTTTGGTACCAAACTCCGAAGTTCTTGCTCCACCTTCCCATTGAGAGACATGTGACTTTGGGTTTCAGATTCTTCATCAAAACAATAAAGAGTGCTTCACAAGGTTTTCATAAGGACAAAAGGAGATCACTAATATGAAAACCCTTAGTAAGAAGTAGAGCATTAAGAGCTATGGGGACATTATTAAACAATTGTCACATGTAACCAATCAGCGATACTCCTTTTCAGAAAGTGTAATTTTATAGTTTATCTTTTAAAGCAACCTCTTAGAAAGGTAGATAATTGATTTCTTTGGTGTCTCTAGTCCAGTAATTCTAAATATTTTTTCAGGTGTCAGTGCCCTGACAATTCACCCTTTCCATCACTAAGTGGCATACTGGGGAGTAAAAGGTAATAAAAGTGCATGAAAGGATCACAGGTGTAAATAGTTGTCCAAATGATGTAAAAAACTCACATAGAATTACAATGCATGAGGGCCATCGCTACCAATACTAAGATGTATGTTGATAACACAAACGTCGTAATTTGAGGGTGTAATGGCACTGAGATCACTTTTCTAGGCAGGAGGAAAGGAGAATAGGAGTAAAATAGTACACAGAGCATCAACTCCATATGGTGAAGGCATATGTTGTATAAGGGCATAAGTCGAATGGGATCCTAGACATGGGTAAAAACCCCATCTCCTCCCTAGCTCTGTATTTAAACTTAATGAGTTCCATTTCTTTATCTGAAAAATGAAGACAATAAAACCATCTCATTGACTGGGTCATACAAAACATGTAAGAGAATGTAAATAAAACATATGGAAGCATCTCCAGTTATACAAATAGATTAGAATCTAATAATTTCTTCCACATATAAAATTAGCTATTTCTAAAGAAATATCTTAATAACTCAAGATTTCTGATAAGTAAATCTGAATTTGATATCGTTTTTAATCAAAACTAATTCAAATATAAAACTTATTCATGTAGTTTTTTTAAATGTTTTGACTAATTCATGGGTACTGAAATAAATTTCAGTATGTCTCACCTAACTTTTGTGTTTTAAGTGGAATAGACTAGAAAATGCCAGAGTGACATAGTATTTTATATGTATGGTATATGAGGTCATGATATGAGGTCATGACACAAATTGTTATTTCCAACTCTGGGTTGTTGACAGAAATAAATGAAAAGTAGTAAAATCTTTTTAGACAACCAGATCTTCTCTTATTAAGTGGTAACCAAAACGTTAGACCACTTAGATCCAAACCATACCAAAAACAAAGAAAGAAAACACAAAAACTCCACCGCCAGCTAGTCAATTGACTCTGACTCGCAGCGATTTTTTTACAGGGTTTTAAAGCAATCCCTTTTTGGCAATTTGTTATAGCAGCAACAGAAAACAAATATAATATGTTTTCTATTAACATATATTTCTCCACAAACACTAGGTGATATGAGAGAAATGAGAAATTATGATTCTGAAGTTCTCTAGAACCAAATAAGTAATCGTTCAAATACTGCAGCAAATGCGAGAAGATCTGATCCTTACCATAGGTGTCCAAAGAATATCTGAAATGTGGGTAAAACATATTAACGTTCTTCAGTTCTTCTACAGTTAGATCTCTGAATTTGTACTGAAAAGAGAAAAGTGATAAGATCCAAGTAAAACTATGATCAACAATAATAATTACAGTTAATTAACTGAATACTGTGTGCTAGGTGGGAGCTTTACAGACATGAATAGTATTTGGATTAACCCTTCTAAGAGTAACCTTAGGAGGTAAGTAACTCAATCACATCCATTGACTCATATTGACCCAGGAAAGAACAGAACAGAATTGCCCCTTTAGGTTTCCGAGGCTGTAAATCTTTACGGGAACAGCAAGTCTCAGCTCTCTCTTGTGGAGTGGCTGATGGGTTTGAACCACTATGCATGTGGTTAGCAGCTCAACAGTAATTCACTATACCACCAGGGCTCCTTATTAGGCAAGCAGGACTAGCAATTGTTCTACTTTGCAGAACAAAAGGAGAGCTAGAGAATCAAAGCAACTGGAAGAGTTACATACTAAGGGAGGTCACAGCTCAAACCCAGGACCTGGGCCTTTAATCATGACATCCAACTTCCTCCATTTTGCAGAGTAATAATCAAATAGACATCCATGGAGCAACGCACGCACTTCTAGACCAGGGCTGGACAACAGAACTTTCTGAGTTGATGAAAACAATCTATTATCTGTGCTTCCCAATATGGTCAGCACATACGGTGGCTCTTGAGCACCTGAAATGTGACTTGTGTGTCTGAGAAACGGAATCTTTAATTCTAATTGCAAATCCTTTCAACAGACACAGTGGCCAGTAGTCACAATATTAGAGAGTCCCTAGCACATTTCTAATTCCGTAACATGAGTACACCTTTTCCAATTCCTCAGCCTGTCTTTGAATAGTGTATTCTTTCCTTTACTTTTCCCCTCCAAATTTACATCACGTATGTGTGTACCCCTCAGCAACATACTGCTTAATTTTCCTTGTTTCTAGGCGTATCAAAATATAATTTCATATAAACCTCCAATTTGTGTCCACTCATATAAAAGTTCCTAAGATGTATCTGTACTGTTGCACACAGTCGTTCATTTTCATTGCGACAAAGTACATTGTTCCTCCTGGTTATGAATATACCACAAAGTATCCTTTTTCCTGGCAATGAATACATAAGTGTCTTCTGACCAGGAAGCTGGTGCTAGTCCTGCCTTAGAAATGGAGGCCAAACCTCGGGGTCAGCCCTCCCACCAGCCCATCTTGGAACATCTGAGGACTCTCCAGGGCCTTCAAGCCCTATGTTCATTCCTAAATCTACTCGGGGCTTTTCATTCACTGACGTTAACTACTCTCCAATATGGTCATTGATCTTTCTGAAGCAGAAAAATCATGACTCCATCTTCCAAGGAGTGCCACCTGAGCTGGGTCTCTGAAAGGTTAAGTGCTGAGAGAGTAAAAGACCAGGCCGTTACGGTACAGAGGAGGACGAGGTTAAAGGCAGAGCGTGTGCCGGCGGAGAAGAGGGGTCCAAGCGATGGCGTCGGGTGGAATCGGAGGCCAGACCCCCGAAAGGCGTGGCCTCTGACTCCAGCAGCCCTGTAGGGCCCGGTCCCCCAACCGGCGTTACTATCCAGCCCCCGAATCCAACCGGCCGGCCGGCCGGCCAGGGGAACGGGACGAGAAGGCAGGTTGGCCGGGGGCGGGACGTCCATCGGGCGGGCGAGACGCCCCCCAAGCCTGGGCCCCAGAGCTGGCCCAGCGGCTGCCCCGACCTTGGCAAGCAGGCGCCTCAGTTCCTCGCAGTCGAACTCCATCGCCAGCAAAGACAAGCCACCAGGCGCCGCAAACCCAGTCCCGGGAGCTCCTTCCGGATACAGCCCGGGACGGCGGCCGCCGCGGACCAAACTTCCCCAGCGGACCAAGACCCCGCCCCTTTCCACCCCGGACAGTCCGCTCTCGTGAAAGTGCTTCGGGCTCCGTCCTGCACGCGCCCGGGAGAGCAAGTGGTTGGAGGTGCGGACACACGCGTTAGACGCGCGGCGTGTAGGACCCCGCTTGCAGGAAGGAAACTTGGAAACATTTATGAAAAGAGAAATAGTGAAGGAACCGGAGCAGGAGAGAAGGTAAAAGAAACACGAGGTCTTTTTTTTTTTAAGTACGTCCAAGTGGAGGCATACCTGTTTTGAAATGGTTGTTGGTCATTATCACTCTCCAGCACGCTTTACTTACACTGCCCAGAAGTAAATAGGACTTCTGGAAAGTTCAACGCATTCCGCATCTACTGGAGACTGCAGATGAAAATATGCAAAAGTGCGTTAAGTGATTGTTTTATGCTAACTGGTATCAGAATTCATGCATGCATTTTGCTGTTCATTAATCTAACAAAGTGCTTCATTGTCATTTTTCATGACTCACTCAGTTCACGATTCTAAACCCTGGGCTAGATTATGCTGGTGTGTCACTTTATGGTGGAAGTCACTGAAACAGTTTATCTAGATACTGATCAATAAACTCTTATTATCAATCACATCTGCAGCAACAATTAACCCCCAGTAGACCCATGACTATGAAAAGAATCCCTTTCTGTTCTGAAATGAAACAATCTAAGCTGAAAGAAATTTGATTATGTCTTTATAAGACCGGCATACCAATATCTTAGTGTGGCAAATCACCTTAAATTAATTTTTTCACTCAACAAGTCAGAGGTACTAGTAGTATGTAAGGGCTGTTTATAGGGGCGGTTACTTCTACACAAACTCACTACCAGGTGGATGTTACAGTAAAAGTCACAGAACAAATATTGTCAGGTATACAATTTACAATTAATTAGAAATAAGACATGATTATTCCCAAAAGACCCTACCCCATGTCCTTAGACAGCTGAACAAGTATCTCACAAGGAGCCTCTAAAGCAGTGGTTCTCAACCTTCCTAATGCCATGACCCTTTAATACAGTTCCTCATGTTGTGGTGACCCCCCAACCATAACATTATTTTTGTTGCTACTTCATAACTGTAATTTTGCTACTCTTATGAATCGGGCAACCCCTGTGAAAGGGTCGTTAGACCCCCAAAGGGGTCTCGACCGACAGGTTGAGAACCGCTGCTCTAAAATGAATGTAGTCATATTCTTTTTTGAATACTTTATTGTGGTTTAGATGAACGTTTACAGGGCAAATTAGTTTCCCATCTAACACTTTACACGTATTTTGCAACTGCATTATAAATGGATCTCTGATGAGAAGCAAGCCCGAGGGGAAAAGCAGCAGGACTGATGTTTCTGGAGGCATTAAGGGGGAGGAGGAGGTGGGGAAGGGAGCAGTGAGCAAGCACCACCATAGACAGAGGAACAACTAGGGAATTAAAATCAACAACAAGGATGTAGAGATACTGGGTATGTTGGAGCAACAGCAATCTAGCTGAGAGGAAGTACTAAGAGAAAGAAAAAGGGCAAACATGATGGTGGGGCAGGAGGAAGGTAAAAGGAAACGGGAAAGATCTAGGAAGCAAAGCTATGGGCAGAGGTATAAATAAAGGTTTAATTCATAAAAATAGAGGTTCAGCATAAGTACATATGTTTATATGGCAATACGCTGAGGAAGTGGACAGACTTTGGGCCTCTGCTCAAGCCCTCCCTCAACACAAAAATACTTTGTTCTAACAACCTGCCATTCTGTGATGCTCACCCTCCCAGCATGATTGACCGCTGAAGACAACATGGGTGCATAAGGAAATGTGGTGAAGAAAACTGATGGTGCCCAGCTAGCAAAAGATGTAGCATCGAGGGTCTTAAAGGCTTGATAGTAACCAAGCAACCATCTAGCAGAGAAGCAAAAAGCCCACACGGAAGAAGCACACTGGCCTGTGCAATCATGAGGTGTCGATAACAGGTAACAGATATCAGAAGACCCAAAACAAACAAATGAACAAAAACCCTATTGTTGAGAATGATAGGAGTTGGATCAAAGACCCAAAACCCATCTGTAGACAATGGGACATTCTCTCACAGAAGGGTCACAAGAGAGGGATGAGTCATCCAGGGTGAAGTATACCACTGATGAAACACACAATATTCCTCTGGTTCTTTGAGGCTTCCTTACTCCCCACTATCATGACCCCAGTCCTGCCTTTCACTATAGGCTAGGTTGGAGCATATACACAGGTACAGATACGAGCTCATGACACACAGGATCTAGGTCAGATAAAACCCTCAGGAACAGAAATGGGAGTAGCGATACCAGGAGAGGAGAAAAGAGGGAAAGAAACCACAGGGGAAGGGAGACACAGTTGGTGTATGATATGAAATCAATAATTTATAATATATCAAGGGGTTAGGAGGGTGGGAGGGTGGGAGGGATAATAAAAAGAGGAGCTGATACCAAAGTCTCAAATAGAATATAAATGTTTAGAAAGTAATGATGGCAGCATATGTATAAATCTGTTTGATACAATTGATGCATGGATTGTTATAAAAGCTGAAAGAGTCCCAATAAAATGATCTAAAAATAAATAAATAAATCTCTGAGCACTGCATTTGCTGTGTCTCAAAGACTTTGGTGTGTTGTGCTTTTAATGATTGGATTTAATTTAATTCTTTATATCTTCAATTACTTCGTAGTTTTTAAGCAGTTACTCAGTTTCAATTTATTTGTTTCCCTTGATTTGTTTATAATATAATAATCTGGCAAGATTAACTATATTAGTTTGATGATTTAAAATGTATTAATGTTTGCTTTGTGGCCTTTCATATATTTCTTCTTGAAAATGATCCATGTGCACTGGAAAAGAAAATGTGTGTACCGCGGTGGCTGTTGTTGGGTGGAGTGTTTTTTGTATGTCTATGAGATCAAGTTGACCATATCACATACCATATATACTCTAGTATAAGCCGAGCTTTTCAACACATTTTTAATGCAGTTTGTGTGGTAAAATTAGGTGCCTCGGCTGATATTCAGGTCGGCTTATACTCAAGTATATACAGTAACTCCTCTGTCTCTTAGTGAATTTCTTTCTGGTTGTGTCTGTCAGGAAAGCAATGTTTTTAAGTCACCTCCTATTATTGTGAAGTTGTCTATTTCTCTTTTAATTTCTGTTAAAGTCTGTTTCATTTATTTTGGAGCACTTTCATTGGTGCATAGATAGGTATTATTATTATATCCTCTTATTGGATTGACCTTTTAATCATTACATAATTCCCTTCCTTGTCTCCTATGCTGCTTTTTGCCTTAAAGTCTGTTTCACCAGAGTTAAATATTGCCACATCCATAGTCTTTTTTTAGTGCTGTTTGGTTTTTGCGTACCTCCCCACACAAGCGTCTGATTTTCTGCTTATTTTACCTAGGCAGCAGGTTGATGGGTTGTTTTTTCTGCCACTCCCTCCCTCTTGACTGGAGCATTTACATTCAGTATGATTATTCATAGGTATGAATTTACTGCTGTCAGTTTTGGGTGTGTGTGTTGTTGATTTCTTTGTATACTTAGCTGTGCTGAGTTCTTTTTATTTCCTTCGCTGCAGTTGACTTTATGATTATTGAGTCTTGATGATTTTCCTTTTATTTTGTTAATTTGGTAATTTTAAAAATCATTTTTTATTTCGAAGAGATTGATTTTGTAATTCTCATGAAATTTGCTTTCATCCTCCTGCGTTTAAAACCATATGTTCTATGTTGACCTCACCTTCACTTCCTCTCTATATGTAACTTATATAACTACATATTTTGTTTTGTATTGTATTCCCTTTTTTGGTTTTGTTTTGTAGTTGTTTACATGTTAATATTTCTGATTCCATGTTTTCTGTACTGTAGCTTCATTAAAAAAAATTCCTTGATTGAGTTGGTTTCTGGTTGTTTTAATCTCAGGGTATTATCTGATATTGCTGGTTCCTTAGCTAAATAATTCCCCTTAATGTTTCTTTTAACTTGGTTTGGTTTTCACAGATTTCCTTAATTTTGATTTATCGGGAAATGTTCTAATCTTATTTGAGGAACAGTTTACTGGACATATACTTCTTGGTTGGCACTTATTTTCTTTAATCCTATTACCTTCTTGCCTACTTGGTTTCTGTTAAGAAATCAAAGTTTAAACTTTAAAAAAAACTTTAAAAAAAACCAAAAAAAATCATTTTATTGGGGGCTCTTACAGGTCTTAAAGATTAAACTTTTAAACTTTTATAAACATTTCATTTTTCTTGAGCTGCTCTCAAAATTCTTTTTGTCTTTGGTTTTGGAAAATTTAACAATGATAAAGCTTCTTGATTTTCTTTTAGGGTCTATTCTATTTAGGGTTCAGGATGGCTTCTCATTTATCTTTCGTGATATAGGGAAATTTTCTACCAGAGAACCTTTGACAATTTTATCAGCTTTCTTTTTCCCTCCTCTAGTTTTGGAGTTCATATCACACATAAAGTATTTCTCTTAAAGGCTTCATACACAACTATGAGCCTGTCTGCATTCTTTTTCTGACTGTTTCACAGCTTGGTATCAAGGGACTTATTCTCTATTCCACTGATTCTGGCTTCCATTAGTTAGACTGCTGCGGTATCTAGCTTGGAAATTCTAGTGTTACTATTCTCGTTTTCTAATTGCTGCTTTTCTATAGTTTCTAATGGTATCTTATTTGTTTTCTTGAATTTTAATTGTGTGTGTTTGCCTTGATTTTTTTCTGTTTTCCTTGATCTCTTTCTGGGTCTTACCTAGAGCTCTATCTATAAGCCTTTTGAATTGATCAAGTAGCTCTCTTTGTTTTTCTGGGAGATTTTATGGTTTTTTTACTTTGGCCACTTGTTGGAACTATCCTGCCCTACTTCTTTAGGTGATCTGATAGTATCTGTTGTTTCCAAGGCATTGATGCGTTATTTTATTTGTTGGTTGTTTGGTTGTATGTTTGCTACATCCTGGTCTTCTTATTTGCCTGGATGTATCTGGGCAGGTAGCACGGGCATGCTCCTCTGGTTGCCAGTCTGGCGGCACTGGGTCACTCACCACCTCGCTCTGGGTGGGTGAGGTGGTGGATATGTGCACGTGGGCCGGGGTTTTCTGATCTTGTGGGACAGCTGAGGGCAGGTTAGGTGGGCACTGATGGTTGTTTGTGTTGGTCCAGTGGCACCTGCAAGCGCAGGCCCACTCGGTGTGGTGGCAGGTGTGTTAGCTAGTGAGGGTTGCTTGCTGCCTTCTGCTGGATGGAAGATGGTGAGTGACAGGTCAGTGTGTGCTTTCTATCCCTCCCTCTCCCCAGGGTGAGACGGGAGGGGCAGATGAAAAGGGAGAGGGGCAGGTGGGAAGGAGGGGAGGTTGGTTCTAGGAGTGTGTGTTAAATTCAGCAGTATTACAAAAAATCAAGACCCCAAACTGTAATTACATATAGAAAGGTGGGGCGAAAGGGACTGCAAATTTCAGGAACGAGAAAAGGCACAGTGGCTTGGAAGAACCCTGTTGGAGATGGGGAGAGAAGGCAGAGGTAGTAACTTTTCTTCTTATTTTTAAGGAGAGAGGCATAAACCTGCAGGGACTCTTGTGCTTCATGGTTAAAGTGTGTTGGGCTGCTAACCAACAGCTTAGCAGTTCGAACCCACCAACCAATCCCTGGACGAAAGATGTGGTGGATTTTTGTTTTGTTTTGTTTTTTATTGTGGTGGACTTTTTTTTTGAAGGTAGCAGCCCTCGTTTCTACCCAACTCTTGGTGAGCCATGCCATGTACTGAGCATTATGACAACCTTAGACACTGGCCTTACAGGGAGCCTGCATACCCCAAGGTGGGAGAGGAAGGCAGCCTCCCACGACTGATTGTTTTTTAAGGAATTCAATTAAGAAAACATAAAAGAGACAGACAGAGAATATAGTCTGCTTACCTCCTCCATGGAGTCAGGATCAAAAGATAAAGAGAGAGAGAGAGAGAGATCGCTCAAGTGTATTTTTCACAAATTCATATAGTCTCAGGACTTGCAAGCCCCCCCTAGCTACAGACAACTACATACATAACAAGGTGGGAAGTAGCCTAACCTTAGGTGTCCTTGAGTTCATTCAGGGAGGAACTGAACCCCTGCGCTGGTAGGTAGAAGGGAGTTGACTATTCCCTGAGCAGGGAGAACAATAGCAACATGTCTGCTCCTATAGGGCCACATCGTAATCAGCATGTGCTTGTCAGAAATAACATTAAGGCAGCATGATTATGGTAGGTTACTGTGGGGATGATTTTTAATTAGGAGCATGTGACTGGGACTCTTCTCCAACTCACCAATGTGAAGGCCTCCCTCCATCTAGAATCCTAGCCTCCAAGGCTTCTTAAATCATGAGCAGAGAGAATTTGTCCAGATACACTCTCTTCCCAGTCACCAGTTTCCCACACCGAGGACCACACCAGAAGGACTCAATGTGGAACCCCAACTAAAAGAACTGGGCCCTCCCTCAAAACTACATGAACCCTTGGACTTAAGACTGAAATACTCTGATGGGAGAGGAAGCAAAGGATGGCCACCCCAAGACTGTGGAAATGGTCGTTGTTGGATCTTGGGTAGGTAGTGGGTGTCCAATGAAAGGGTTCCCAGAACTACTGTATATTTACTATCTCCATGCTCCCCTTGCATTAATATGACAGGTTTTAAATGTGATAGACAAAAAGCTTCCCTTGTAAGAAGTGATCCTGGACATTTTGCCCAGCACCAACCCCCATGTTCAGTGCAGAAATTAGGAAATCAATCTATACAAAGCAACAGCTTCCATAAACTCCTAAGAACAACAGTATCTTAAATTCTGCGCCATTGATAAACTAGGGATGTCATCAGTGCAATCGCCTTCTACCCCAGGGGGATGATTGACAATGTTTCCCTTTTTCCTTTCTTTTGTTTTTTGGGTTGTTTGTTTTTGCTGTTGTCCTTGTTGGTTTTGCTTTTTGGTTCTGTCATACTATGACTGCCAATGTCAACCTGAGTCCTTCAGCACCTGTGGACAAGCAGATGGATTCTGAGCTCCCATGTCATTCTAGCCCCAGTCCAAGAGCAGTTCATTCTAATTACCCGGCCCTGCTCAGTACTCACCTTCTGAAGTGATCACTGAAGATAGAGGTGGTTCAGCGAAGTGTGGTGAAGAAAGCAGGTGGTTTCTAGCCAGCAATTAGAATCGTGCCTGGCGTCTTCAAGGCTTGTATTCAGCTAAGCAGCCATCTAAGTGAGGTGACCACTAAGTCCGCATGTGTGATCCGAAGATGATAATAACAAAATCCCAATATGATGAAGGGAAAAGCATCAGAGCTCAAATTGTGAACACCCAATTTGTAGAGGGCTACCTGTGGAGGGCAGTGGGAGTCCAAACCCCATCTGCAGAGTATCTAGTCAGATTAAGCCGCTGGCAGATCCTCTCTGGCCACAGGCGAGGGACTGGACCAACCTCACTATCAGAGATTATTGTAAACTTGATTGTGGTGGATCAAACCAGGGTATAGTAGGATACTTGGCAGTTGACCTTCCTCTTGTCCCAACCTACATTTGTTCTAGGCTCAAATATTTCTCACTTGTTCCACGACAGACATTTCTTCTCGGGCTTTACAGGAGGATAAAGCTCATCTTTCTCCCAAGGAAGGGCTGGTGGTCTGGAACTGCTGACCTTGCAGGTAGCAGCCTCATGCATCTCTACACCACCAGGGCTCCCTGACAGTTCTCTGTACCTCATCATATGTGTATGGTGTTTAGAAGCTCCTGGAACAGTCTTTGGCAGAAGGATATATGCTAGGCTAGTGACATTGTTATATCAGGAGGGTAAGGATTGAAGAGAAAGTAAAGTATTAAATTTTTTCTTTATATTTGGCTTTATATAGTTTTTTCTCTATAGATGATTTCCCATGTTATAATTACAGTGATTTTTGCAATAAAACAAAACCAAACCCACCGCTAGGAACGAGGGTCCTATTCGCAGTGACCCTACACAGGGTTCCTGAGGCTATACATCGTGATGGGAGCAGACAGCTTCCTCTTTCTCCCGAGGAGCAGCTGGTGGGTTTGAACTGTCGACCTTGTCTTTAGCAGCCCAACCCTTAGTCAACAGCGCAAACTACAGCGTTGTATATGTAGGAAGACCCCTGATAGAGAAAGGGGGTCCACAGTGCCAAGAGGTTAAGAGGAAGGAGAGTGGGTCCTTAGAGGTGACCGAAAGTAGGTTTTTGATGACCCCTGTGAGCATTTGAAGTAGTGAGGCAGAGGCAAGAAGTCAGACTTTGAGGCAAAGAGGTCAAATATAGATTAGAAAGAAGGCCTCGGAGTGTGGATTACTTTTTTGGTAAGTTTGGTGATGAACAGAGGCTAAGAAACAAGGAGCCCCAAGCATCCGTTGGAGGTTATTGTGCGGTAAGGAAAGTGATACAATACATACAAGTTCCTGAAAGCCAAGAAAAGAGAGCCAGCGGGGAGGAGCTGAATGAATGGGCCGTAGGTATAAAGTAAGTGGTGGTTCTGGAGATGGGACGGAAGGGCAGCCGGGGGAGAAGCGGAGTTTCATTCTTCCAGAATTCGGCCTGCTTCCTTCGCAGCTGTCATAAACTAGGAATACAGCTTCCCCAAACCTGTCGAACTCCTCTTACACTGGATCCTGACTCCTCTCCCCAGTTCGGACACAGCAGCTCCAGAACCTAGTGCAGGTTCTCTGAGCCTCTGTTTTCTCCTTAGTAAGACCTAGCTCATGATGCACCTCCTCACAGTGCTGCGGAGAGCCCGTTCCTACCAAAGCTGATGCTGCTTCTCAGGTATTGATCTAGGGGATAGCCCCTTTGACTGGGTGGTGGGGTTGGGCAAGTGAACAGTGATGTCACAATGCCGTACTAGAGTCTAGCATCTTCACCAGAGAGCTGTGGATCCTTTGGAGCTGAAGACTAGAACTGCCATGCAGGGCTTCCAGCAACTAAGGGTTTCATGAGCACGCACCTCTGCCAAAACCCTGGTGAATAATCTCTCACTGTGCAATTGCGTCTTAGAAATTTTTATTTTTGGTCATGATTGTACTTGGTTGGATGCTTTTTGTTGGCCTTGCATGTTACATGGGGGCGTTTCCAGAGTCCATGGTAAGTAAAGACCCTGCCCCCAAATCCCTGGGAGTCAGCCCTGGCTCTCCCTTACCCTCCTAGCTGGGACTTTGGGGCCCAATGGGAAGACAGCTGCGGTCTTACCACCCATTATTAGGATGTGATGGGACTAAGTCCCCCGGGCAACTTCCCATCAGATTGGGGCATCCTTGTTTTAAGACCTGTTTTTTTTTTTTTTTTCTTGAATATGTAACTTGTTTCCAAGCCATTATGGAATTTATAAAGGGCCTGCAGGAGACAGCCCAGCCCCTACCTTGTGCTTTCTATTCCACTCTCCTGGAGAAACCTACCCACTCAGGCCAGGTAATAGTGGTTCCTGGGTGGACACAGGAATGTGTGGATTGGTGAGACCTTTCCGTAACCGTACAGAGTCAGCTCCCAGAACTACCAAGTAGAGCCATGTCTGTCTTTAAGTTTTTTCCTGACTTAGCCTCCAACTCTGAAGTGGAAAGAGAAGTGTTCTATTCAGGAGAGCAAGGCCCAGCTGAGGAGCCGGGCTTTGGATGAAGACCTGCAACTGTGCTAGACTCCTCCATTGACAGAGAATCCGTTAGCACCCGATACCAGTGGAGAGCTCATAACCTGTGAAAGGTGAACACATTTGAAGTATGTGATGGAGGAAAGGAGCCCTGCGAGTATAATGGGTTATGTATTGAGCTAATCGCGAAGTCAGTGGTTCAAACCTAGCTGCAGCCATTCCTTGGGGGAAACGATGAGGCTGTTGGCTTCCATAAAGAGTTCCAACAAAAACTGGCAAAAAAAAAATAGATTTCAAGTCTCCAAACGCCTCAGGAGCAGTTCTCCTCTGTCCTGCAGGGTTGCTGTGAGTCTGAATTGACTCAGTGACTGTGGGTTATTGATGGGGAAAGAGGATTTGAGGGAAATACAGACTGCAGCAGGCCAAAGGTTCAGAGCTTTGTTACTATGCACGCGTCATAGGTATTCTTTTCCATGGAAATTCCCATCCATCAGTCCTTACTCTGTAATAAATGGGACTAGCAATTTTAGCATCTATTTTGGCACAGACCTGGAGGTAACATGCACTTGTGTTCAAGTCCTGACCTTGCAACTTACCAGCCGTGTGACGTTGGACAAATCAACACCTCTGAACCTCAGTTTCTTTATCTGTAAAATGGGAGTTATCCTTTACTATTTTGGTGTGTTTTGCATTTGGGAATTCATACAAAGCATTTCATGTAAAACTCAACAACTAGTATGAGTAAATGCTAACTCAACACAATAACGCGCAGTAGACAAACACCAGTGACAAGGACTTCAACTATTTACCCAAGGCGACACACCGGCTCTTTGGAGCTGGGATGCAAATATAGGTAGGTCTCTGGACTTAAGCACCCCTCACGCTCATTTCATTAAAACAGACTCCCAAAAGAGATGGCCAATGACAGGTATAGCAAACACTCATGACCGCAGTCCTTTAGTACAGCGTTTCCTGCGATTCTTGCATTTCATGTCATTTCATGCCGGCCTGTTTCTTCAGAGCCGTTCTAGTGTCAGAGATATTTGAGAGAATCTTAGTGACATACTGATTACAGGAGCAAATGACTGTTTGGGGGGGGCGCGACTCCAGAAGGTAGGGATGCCACACCCCCGGCCCAGGTATACTCAGAGCAAGGCTTGACGGTTGGTCTTTTTTCCCTGTCTGCCCCAGAATTTCTGTGAGAGCATTGGCCCAAAGCAAGCGCTCCGTGAAGATGGGGATGTGAATGGAGGCTCTGTGGCTACTTGTTGAGCGAAGCCACTGCTACAGGTGTGTGATCCTGGCCAAGCTGCTTAACTCGCCTTAGTTCCTCCAGCTGTGACGTGAGCACAGTAAGCAGCCCATCCTCTCCTGCTCCCTTGGCAGGAAAGGTGTGAGGAGGCTTACCTGCCCTGCAGGACGAAGCTTCTCGGTGCCATTTCACAAAACGCAAGATTTGTCTTCTTGAAGCAGCCAACTATAGCACATAAAGTAATTATGCGGCCGGCAGGCATTTTGGTGCTTCACATGTTAGACTTGTCTGTGGTTATGTTTGACCTGCTGACTACGAAAATGACACCAGTTCCCCCTCTGAGCTCATTTAAAAAAAAAATCATGTTATTGGGGACTCATACAGCTCTTGTCACACGCCATACATGCATCCATTGTGTCAAGCACTTTTTTTCTCTCTCATTTTCATTTGCTTTATTTAAAAAAATTTTTTAATCATTTTATTGGGGGCTCTTACAACTCTTGTTACAATCTATATATCAATTGAATCCAACATATTAGTACATATATTCCATCATTCTTTTCTAGACATTTACTTTCCATTGAGCCCTTGGGATCAGCTCCTCTTTTCTTCCCTCCCCCCCCTCCCTCCCCAACCCTCATGGCCCCTTGATCCATTGTAGATTGTTAATTATTTTTAAATCCCACACCGACCACTGTCTCCCCTCCCCTCTGGTTTCCGTTGTTCTTCCCGCTGGATGGGGGGGTGTGGTTATGTGCCCTTCATTGCGTCAGTACCCCCCTCCCTCCCCACCTTCCCCCTCCCCTTTTGGTATCTCTATTCTCATTCCTGTTCCTGGGCTCCATGTGTTGAGTTTTATCTGTGTCAAGCACATTTGTACACTTGTTGCCAGCATCATTTTCAAACATTTTTCTACTTGTGAGCTCTGGTTTTTGAAGTCCAGAACATAAGCCATATACCACTCTTCCCTCTGCTCGCAGGCGGTTTTAGCATCATGTTAGCTGGCCTGAGGTAGAGAAGTGCATGCTGGCTTTATTTAAAGACATTTGTGTTGTGCTAAATATTTTGGTGATACTTCACACGGTGTTCTTTGAGCCAAAGGTAGATTTGAACAGTGCCAATGACATGCCGTGAAATCTCCCCCGAGTATCACTTATCACTTCATGCTGAGGAGGAACTGAATAACAGGCAGCTCTAATTTGTTATCTTAAAAAGGGGCCAGAAATCAGAGTTACTGTGCAGTACATAAGGAGCCCAGGTAGTGGTGTGGTGATGATTTGGGCGGCTAACTGCCAGGTCAGCTGCATCCCGGGAAAGACAAGCCCTCGTCTCCAACAGCGTTAACGTTTCGGAAACTCACAGTTCTACCCTGTCGTAGTGAGTGGTAGAGTTGGTACTGACTTGATGGCAGCGAGTTTGGTTTGAGTTTGGTGGTGTCGTCAGTAATGCGTTTGGCTGTTAACCACAAGGTCAGCTTTTCCAGCCCACACCTGCCCTGCAAGGGAAACACCAGGCTTCCTGCTCCCAAAAAGATTCACAGCCTCAGAAACACACCCATGGCAGTTCCACTCCAGCCTACAGGGTCTCTGTGACTTATAATCGCCTGACTGGTCATGAGTTTGGGACAGTACATAGAGAGTCAAGTTTCTGAAACCCCCCAATGGATCTGTCAGAGTTCAAACTCCTTTATTAAAATGAAGATGTCCCAATCTTGGGATAATGTGGCACAACCTTTCCATCCATTCACAGCAATGCTTAAAAGTTAGAATGGGTCTTATAAAGAAGCTTGGCGTCAACCTCATCTCTGAAACATGTACCATGAATTAATCATTGATGTCTATATTAAAAATGTATTCTGAAGTGTTGACTTCATAATTTGAAGAAAAAAATTGACCTTCAAAACTTTTAGGAAATCTCACATTTTCAACATTCTGAATTGCTACCACACCTTCCGTAGCTGTGCCTTTTCTGTTTTCCCCACCCTTCTCAAGCTGTGGTCTAGCTCTGCAGGACCTAACTTGTAGTCTGTGTGTACTGCACAGCCTCCCATCCCCCAAAGAAAAACTGTCTGCCCTCTAATTGATTCTAACTCAGAGTGACCCTATAGGATGGAGAACTGCTCAGTTGGGTTTGCCAAACTTTTCAGTATTTTAAAGGCTGCAAGGTGACTGGCGGGTTTGAACCATTGACCTTATTATCAGGTCACTGAATAACCAACTAGCCAACATGGGTCCATATACGTGGGAAGTCCCTTAATACCTAATTCCTTTTCAAATATTTTCTTACCTTTTTTGCCTTATCCTGTAACTTGTGGGTTTCAATCCTTCTTATATTTAAAACTAGGATGCTAAATTAATAAGCTAGTAAGACGTAGTAGCTGATGATACAGTGGAACACCATGCCTAAGAAACTAGAGCTGATGTTGTCTATCCAGTGCAGTTTTCTGAGTCAGCGCCCCAAAGAGCCCTAGCAACAGGTCTGAAAACTAAGACATACACCAAGAAAACGATTTTGTTGTCGGGCTGTTGTTACTGCTTGGAGTTGTTAACCCTCCCAATTAGTCCAGTTCTTCCGCCTGCTTTTTTTATGTGTCTGGTGGCATCCACAGTCAAACGTTTGGCAGGTAATGAGTTAATAGAGGTGTGATGCAAGCTAGGTCCTAACACATAGATTCCCTGGAGAGCAGGCCCACCTGTCATTTCTGGCCAAGCATCTCAGAGCTGCTGACAACTGGGCCCCCGATGTCACCGATTGATGTCACAATTGGTGTCAGCTGTCTCCCCAAATGTCCATGGGGAACCACTTCAGGTCAGATAGGACCACAGAGGAGCTCAGCCAGGAGCTGTCATGCTGGGCTATCCACCATCTGGTCTCTAATGAAGACAGCCCAGTTCCCCGGACTCAGGGACTAGAACAGCAGACCTTCTAGAATCACCCATCTACCCCTGCATACACCGCCAGCTGGGCAGGAACGCCACCATGATTGTGGTCTTATGGATGCTTCTCATTGCAGGGACGATGTGGAAGGGATATAAGTATCCTCCGGGAGGGGTAAGTACATTTGCAACTTGGTTCTCTCTTCCTATTTTGAAATGTCTTCTCCCAGACAAAGAAGTGCGAAAATCCAATTCCATTAACTTGGGAGCAAATGACTCTTTATTTGGAAAAAATTAAATAAATCACTGTATCTTACCTACTTCCATTATGACAATAATAGGAGGGTTGGGAGACTTCCCACTTTCTTTTAGATATTTTCCCATGTCTTTACTCTTCCTTTAGTTCTTCAGTTTCTTTCCAGTAAACTGGAGGAAGGATATCCCAGCCCCACAGTCAAACCAACCATCTGGCATGGGCTGTCTGGTGGTTGGTGCGCTTAGAAATTGTGTGTGCTTAACCTTCGCTACCATCTCCAGATCAGTCCACACCAGCAACCCGGTGGATCCCTCCTTAGCAAGTAAACATGTCTCTACAAGGGTTTCCATGACAGACACTCTTTCCTTTCTCCTCCTAGTAAACGTTGGAATGCCTGTCTTTCCTCTGCCTCTGCTGCTTCCATCGTACCAAGTCCCTCTGGCAGCTGGGACTGGAGGCAGCAGATAAGGTGGAATTGGGCACAGCCCTCGGCAAGGAGGGCAGTTGCCTCAACCCTACATCCTAGCAACCACTAGGCAAGACTCACTTGACCTCCTTTTTCCCTCTCCAGAACCCGGTGGAAATAACTAGAGATGATCCTGGCGAAGTCATGCAGCTCTGAAGCTCACCTGACAGCTTTCCAGTTCCTGTGTCACATAAAGTAATCGCACATTATTCGGCCATGTTTGATGTGAAAAGTTAATGTTCTCTCAGAGGTGAAGGCAGACTCAGAAACCTGTATGCCTGTCACAGGTGAAGGGAGGAGATAGGATGAATTGGGGGGAGGGGGGCGGTTGAGGAGGGGGCACAGGTGCCCTCTGTTTGAGTCTCTAAGACTGGCATTATGACTAAGTTATCGAGTTCTTAATTTCCACCAGCTGTACCCTTAAAGGACTGGCTTTCTCTAGAACTCTTTACACCTATTTACTTCCTTTTCTTGGGTCTATGGCCCGGAGACCAGAGGTCACATGAATATTACAGAAAGGACAAGATTGCGCTATTATTCTTTGGGATATTTCCCTGGGAATTTCTTATAGCGATTTCTAAGACCCCAAAGCTTACCCCTTTGGCTCCAATATTTTCACATTATGTAATATTTTAATATTGGTTGCTAACTACTAAATTGTATATTATTTTAATCCTTAAAATCCTCTTCTGAGCTGGGTATTGGCCTTATTTCACAAAATTTACATTGAAGTTGAGAGGCTTCCCAACCATGCCAACCCACACAGTTCGGATTGCAGTTCTTCAAGTACAGGTCTCCCAGGAACCAAACCAAATGTGTGTGGGGGCTCCGAGCTCTTGCCGTCTGTCTTCATCGGAGTGGCCGCCCCACCCAACGGTGGTTCTCTTAGTGAGAACTGCTGCTCATGAAGGCTGCACATGGTCTTTGATGCCTGGTACCTGACCCCTTCGCCACCTTGTAATCTTACAGGCTGGTGTGCTTCTTCCACATGGGCTTTGTTGTTTCTCAGTTAGATGGCCCCTTGTTTATCTTCCAGCATGTGGGACCCCAGATTATGTGTAATTTGACGGCTTGGCACCATCAGCTTTCTTCACTGCATTTGCTTATGTACTCGCTTTGTCTTCAGCATTCGTGTCGGGGTAGGCTGGTGTGCTTCTTCCTTGTGGGTTTTGTTGTTTCTTAGCTAGATGGCCGCCTGTTTGTCTTCAAACCTCTAAGACCCCAGATGCTGTATCATTTGATAGCCGGGCACCATCTGCTTTCTTCACCACTTTTGCTAATGCACCCCCTTTGTCCTCAGCGATTGAGTAGGGGCAGGCTGGTGTGCTGCTTCCATGTGGGTTTTGTTGTCTCTGTTAGATGGCTGCTTATTTATCTTCAGGTCTTTAATGCTTCAGGTGCTGTGTCTTTTGGTAGCTGGGCACCATCAGCTTTCTTCATCACACTTGCTTGTGCACCCATTGTCTTTAGTGCCTTCGGGTGTTATATATTTTGGTAGCCAGGCATCATCTGCTTTCTTCACCACATTTTCTTGTGCACCCATTGTCTTCAGTGATCATGCCAGGCAGGTGAGCATCTCAGACTGCCAAATTGTTAGAACAAAGCATTCTTGTGTTGGGGGAGTACTTGTGCAGGGGCCACTGTCCATCTGTTTTCATAATACTCAACCTATAAACATATGTACATAGATCTATTTCCCCCTCATCATATATAAATATACTTATATCTTTATATGCCTGTATTTACATCTCTATGACTACCCTTTGCCTCCTCATTCTCTCCTCTATTTCTTTGTACTTTCCTCTTGTCCCATTATCATGTTCTGCCTTCATTTGGGTTTTAGGCATTCCTCTCGGTTACATTGCCCTTGATCCAGGCCTGCAAGTGCTCCCACACCCTCCTTGACATTGATTTTGGATTACAGTACTTATTCCCTTGTCCCTGTGCTTGTTAACACCCTCTTCATTCCCCCCACCCCTTCCCCTACCCCCATGTTCCCCTGATCTGTCTTCCCGTTCTCTCTTCTGGCTTGTTTATTCCGCCTATCCCTTCCAGGTAGACATGCTATGTACCATCACCAGACTGAGTGCAATGAAGCAACAACAGAAAGTAAAACAATGGCTACAACAATAACATGCACACATATACTGTATAACCATATGAATAGTTTGGGGTCTGTTTGTTTTTCTTCACGTGTGCTTTCCAGTCAGGTCTGATGGGGTGCCATGCCCCGGCACCACCTCTATCCCTGAGGACCTAAACGTTCTGCTCTCCCCGATGCTCTGTTGCATGCCTCCAGAGGCTGGCGTTCAGCCTCATGGCGGGCACAATTCCCGCCGTTTGTCTCCAGTGGTGCGATGGGTCAACGAGGAACGCTGTGTCCTGTGGTGGGGCTGGCTCCGTGGTCATCTCCATGCATTGCTGTTCCGAACAGGCACATTGTCCCCAGGGCTCAGAGAGTCAGGATGTGCTCCACTCTTTCCTTTTCTTCCCCTTCCCCCATTGGCTCACATGTGCTCCGACCAGACCAGTCCCCTTTCCCCTCTTCCTGAGCTGCAGCTTCAGTGCTGTCCTCTGAAGTGAATTCCCCCTGGGGGAGGGTGGTGCCGCACCCAGTTGGTAATGGTGTTGCCATCATTTTCAAAAACTTTTTTCTACTTGAGCCCTTGGTGTTGGCTCTTTTTCTTCCCCTCCCCCCCTGAACCCTTCATAATTCACATTATTTTTTCATATCTTACACTGACTGATGTCTCCTTTTACCCCTTTCTGTTGTCCATCCCCCTGGGGAGGTGATTATATGTAGATTGTTGTGATTGGTTTCCCCTTTCTCCTACCTGTCCTTTACCATCCTGGTATGGCTACTGTCATTATTGGTCCTGAGGGGCTTATCTGTCCTGGATTCCCTGTGTTTCCAACCCTTATCTGTACCAGTGTACATGCTCTGGTCTAGCCGGATTTGTAAGGTAGAATTGGGTTATGATGGTGGAGGGGAAGGAAGCATTAAAGAACTACAGGAAATTTGTGTTTCATTGGTGCTATATTGCACCCTGACTGGCTCATCTCTTCCTTGTGACCAATCTGTAAGGGGATGTCCAACTGTCTACAGATGGGCTTTGGGTCTCCACTCCCCACTCCCTCATTCACATTGACATGATTTTTTGTTCTGGGTCTCTGATACCTGATCCCATCGACACCTCATGTCACACAGACTGGTGTGCTTTTTCCATGTGGGCTTTCTCAACTAGATGTCTTTTGTTGATAGCTATTTGGTACTATTTTTTTTCCTTTTATTGAGACCTCTTACAGATATCATAACATTCCAGTTTCATCACCTCAATCAGTATTATACAATTGCTAGCAATTTCAAAATGTTCTTTTTCCTGAACGCCTTGATATCAGCTTCCTTTCATTTCCTCCCACCCCCACCCTACCCCCCAGGAAGGAACCCTTAAAAAATTTAATTTTTGCCTTATCATAAACATCCAATATATCCATTCACATACCATTCTGTTGCTCAGTCCCACTGAGTGGGGTTATAGTCATCACTGCTCTCAGCTCCCCATTCTCCCCCTTCCCGTGCCCTCAGGGAACCGTTACTCCTGTTTATCTGGTGCTATTTCTAAGAGGATCTTTGCACGGAATGTATTCTTAGGGGGTAGGGTGGGGAAATGTGAGATTTTGAAACCCACAAGCAAAACTAATCTCTAATTCTAGTCTACTAGTGCCTCTTGCACTTCTCGTGGAACGCAGACCCCACACTTTCCAGTGAATCATGTACCTGTACTTTTGGTCCATATGGCTGTGCCCACTTGTCTGATACACAAGGAGACTGCCAAAAGTTCAAAAAAATCAAATGGGAAAAAAGGGGGGATTTTTTGAAGTGCCCCGCTATATTCCTAATGACTTGTCTTCGACATCCCAAGTTCTTGTAAGGAACCAAACTCTCACTTTTTTGACCGAAGGAGCCACATACACAGCTCTTCTGCTTCATTTCTCCAAGGCCCTGAGTGTATCCGCCACAATTTGGGCCCCGGAGTGAAGAGTCATCACTCTCTGTACCGAATTGTTCTCCTGTGAGAGTTTTCTAACATGACCCGAGAAGGGGAGCCAGTGGCTGGGGCTGAGGATGTGACTGTAAGGGAAAGGAGTGTTAGGGGTCAAACTCCATTTCTGCAGTTGGTCAAGTTTACTGGGGCTCCAAATAAGAAAACGTTCAGGAAGATGAGCTAGGATCATCTCAAAGTCTTGGTAAAGAAATGCAAGCCAGTGAAATACCAAAATATTTTTAATGCCTACAATTTCTTGTATACACATACATTTGCAGAGCGTTTACCTATATATGCAAAAGTAGATTCTCTTGCAAGTCAACAGCACCAGAAAACAAGCTAAGCAACGTAAGGTGGTGTTTTTCAAACTTGATCTGTCCATAACGTAAAAGATGGATTAAGAAAATGCCAGAAAAACCTATATTTCATTATTAACCATACACTAAATACCTGAATATTTATTTTATCACATTCACTCACAAAATAAATAGTCTAATACATTCATCACATTGAAAATAAAGCCACTAGACTCTCTTCATAGATTTATTCTCCTTCCAAACATGTTTTGGTCTTCTGCTGTAACTCAGAAATGTACCAATAGCTGCTACTTTTAAGTTACACAATGCAAAACAATATATTTCTTGGGGAACATCTTGGGGGCTACATTTAAAAAAATGAATTCTGACTTCTCATAGACTCTCTTTTATGTTGTTAACAGTCTCTGAACGTCCTCACTTCACACATAAGGCTGCTGAGACCCGTGGTGCCCTGGCCTCCAAAGGGACACACTGCATCTATAGTTGAGAGAAAATACAAAGTTCTGAAAGTAGCCCTAACAGAAAGTGTCCTTGCTTTGACAGCAAGGTCAAAGGCAAGCGGACTGTGCAAGCAGAGCCACACACGTTTTATGAAAACTACTTTCCTTTCACGTCATTTGTGTTCGAGAATGCTGCACCCATGATCATGTAATGATATCGCAACCGTGAGATAACATTACTACATTCGTGATTTAACATTATCCAATGAAAGGCACATCTTCAAATATTGAATTAAGAACATCTGAAAATCAAAACAGGCAAGGATACATTAATAATCAAGCACTTAATTTGTAAACTTTAATAAAATTATCAGCCTATTCCAATTTCTCCCAAAGGCTTGTGAGCTTTTCCTAAGAATGGTCAGAAAGTGCAGAACAAAATGGAAGACAAGAATCAGAAACAAGGCCAAGATAAAGTTAAAGGCTTGCTCGGGAATTTTGCTGGTTTTTTTGTTGGCTTGGTTTTGTCTTTAGCTATGGGAATGTCCTTTTAGGATGCTGATACAGGGGGTTTATTAAAATCAACATCTGCCATACAAGACATTCACTCAGAAGTGGACAGAACAGGACACAACCTGACTCTTCCCATCAAGTTCTGGAATTTGAATATAGCACAATGGTGCCTTGTGTACAAATCAGCTGCACATTATTGATTAAAGTGCTAGTCAAATTTAAGCTACCACAAATCTTTCGGTGAAGACAATCACTTGATTGTTAATTACAGATGCCAAAGAATCTGAATATCCAAAAATATATACAGGGAGAAAACGCTTGATGGGCGAAATAAAGCACATCAACGATGGCAAAGAAGACAGTGTTCCGAGCCGCCTCTTCCCTGGAACCGCATCCAGCACTCACATGCATCCCACTGAGGGGGAGACCAGCAGCACTGACTTCCTGGAACAGTCCGCATGGAAAATTGTTCCTAGTGATGGCACCTCTCACCAGATTCACCTTCAAAATTACATCTTTGTCCTTTCAAAATCTGAACTCATTATTAAAAACTAATGTCTGAAAGGACCCGGTTACACGATCCCATCTAGAAGTGCTAACAATGGCAATCTGATACCCAAACTTGAAAAACACAGACTTCCTGGATAAAAAGGCATTCATTCACAAGAAGCTTGGGTCTTTCTGAAGACTTGGGATTCATTGTAGGGGCAGCCCCTCCTACTTCTCATCTCCACCCTCCAATGGCCTCAGGGAGCCACATGGTTGAAAAGAGAACTATTTTACAAACTCAGTCAAGGACAAATGCTTTCTAGCATTATAGTTTCTCTTCTCTGATTGGAATTGCTTGTACTTGAGCCTCTCTAGACACCAAGCCTACAGATAAAGGAGGGTTGGGTATGAAGAAAGTTCCACCATCCTGGGGGACGTTCTTTAAACTTTTCTACCGAGGACAATCTCTTCACAGTGCATAGTGTGAAATAAAAGTGCAACGTGGGCAAAAAAGTGGTGGTCTTGATTCATACGAATTTCATTTTTGGTTTTTTTGCCACTACTATTTGCTAAGGAAGTGAAGATAAAAATGCAAAGTCATTAACATCAAGGGCACCATGGGATTTCAACATATGTCTATGATGAGGATGAGAAGGGTGGGGGTGATGGGCACCTCAAATGTAGCTTATTTTAAAAAACTATTTCTCAAATCTAATGTTTGGGCATATTCTTTTAATATAAAAATGGATCTTTAAAGAGAAAATTCAATCAGCATAGTGACCTTGTGTGTCTTACTCAGTCAACACAGTTAACAATCCATCTGAAAGGGAAAGAATATTAAGTGGCATAACTAGTAGTTTACCTTATTAATTGCTTATCCCCTACATTAGTGATGAAGAATGTTCCACATCAAATCCATGAATAGTATGCAGAATACAATTTATTCTAATATTTTAAACTTTAACATCAGAGGGATGGTATCCATATAATTAAAGCCTACACTACATCTTCAAGTTCTCAATCTAAACATATAGGTTAGGGCAGGTCACTTCCTTGCTGGCAGCACTCATGGGAGGGCCACCAGTTCCTCATAAAAAGTCAGCCTAATTGGGAGCTCGGCCATGTCCTAGTCACACCTCAGGACCACGCAAGTCAAGCTCTAATCCTTTTTCCTTTTCAAGTGTAACAGGAGACTGGCTGGCTGTGGACTGCCCTCCCCACCCCCCCTTCAGTGTGCATAGCTCATCGGGATCCAGGCTGGCACCTGTGGGACAGTTCCCTTCATAAGAGCATTCGGTGAGCAGGATCACCTAGGGTACAAGATTTCACCCTGGAAAGGAGTTTAAGATATTTTGTGCTCAAATGACAGCCTGCACAGTGTGCGTCCTTCTCCTTGAAAACCCAAGTAAAAATAAAAAATGCCAGGGGCCCTCCGTCTGAAGGCAGCCGTCCTTGCAGCAGTGTCTCCAGAAGGCCACAAGAGGTCAAAGCAGCAGCTAGCGCCGCTTTAGCCTCTTGGCCTTTTGACGTTTCATTTCTTCCTCTTCACGTCTCATTTCTTCTAAGTCTTCCTGCATACCAAGTCTTAAACTGTCACAAAAAAAAAATGTTATTAATACATGGAAGATTTCCACTAGGTTTCAAAGCAAAATGTAAAAGGAATTCGGGGAAATGGCAACTAAAACTATTGCTTGAACCCTCCCCAACAAATATAAGAAATGTGAGGAAATGCTGCTTAGGTTCGAGGAACTCTGAGTAGATGAGATTAGGGAATTGCAGAGAGGCAAAAATCTACGAGTCACACAAGGTAAGAAAATCACTGCTCCCAGAGCCCCTTCCCTGCACTCCCCACTCCTCCGCCACAAGCTGCTGGGGAGGGGACCCCATGCTCCGTTCCATCCATAAGGCAGGCTCCCCTGCTTACAACGTCAGTGTTAGCCCCCAGCTGTGCGAGTCGCTGGGCACTGGAGTCTTCTCTCACAGCCAGCACTCAGCCTGCCTCCCTACTCGCCCCACCCAGTGATCAGCACCTGCGGAGTCAGGGTGGGTATGTCTGGTGCTGAGGACTACCGACGGAATGAATATACGTCGTGGAAAAAAGATTTCGCACGCCACCAAAATCAGTTAAAGTAATAAACAGAAAGCTGGTTTGCTCCATAAACCATCACATTCAAAAAGCTAAAACAAATATTAAAGGAAAGGGCATTTATTCAATAAATAAATGGCATCCTATTCATGCTTCTCCCCAACGTTTTAGTTGATAATTTCTCTCCTGACTGGGGGGAGTGCAGGGCAGAGAAAGGGGCTTAGTGTTCTGGGTGAATGAGTTCCCCAAGTTAGCACCATAAGCAAATAGTCATTTATAAACGCTATGCAGGATTCAGGGACTTCAGTGTACTCCAGGTCCCTCAGGGCACCCGCAGTGCAGGTGAGCAAGGATGAGATGTGTCTGCTGTGGGAAGGGAATGAGGGAAAAAAGCAGGAACAGGCCAAAAATGGAGTCGAGGTGTCCCTAGCCTACACTGTGGCTTACCCTGAGTGGCTCCGTGCATAGGGAACCTGTCCTCTAAACACTTCCTGAGTGGAAACACTACAGCCTTAGGTTACGAATGTGAAGCAGTCTTGGAGTCCAGATCCAGGTGACCCAAAGCCTCTGCTCCCAGACAAAACTTAGGGCATTTCAACTTTAACACGGGGGTGAAGTTTTGGCGTACCTCTTTGCCTCTTCTTTCTGCTGTTCTTTCCAAGTACTCTCCATGTAACGTAAGGCATAATCACTTTCATCTTTGTACCTAATGACAGGAAATGGGAGTTAAACAGACCGAAGACTCGGTTTTCTAACGGCATCAAAGCCTCATCCTTTCTGCTGAGAATACACCTAGCAGCACATGTCGCTATCCCACACCTACACTCCAGCGACACTGAATCGTCAACCACTCGGCCTGCCTTTCCTCAGTTGCTCCTGCCCTTCCCCGCACCCCCACTGTTCACATAAACTCCCTGTGCTCCGCTATCTCTCAGCTGCTGCTGTCAATTTGATCACATGCACGTAGGTCTTTAAATAGCACCGTGTTCAAGGCAGATATTTTTTTTTTACTAATTAAACTATTGTTTGGTTTCAAGAAAACTTCAGGAGATATTTTTGGTTTAAAGCTTAAAGATGATCTCAGGACAATAGTTTCAGGGACTCATTTAGATTTTTCTGGATTTCATGACTATTTGAAATTCTGTTCCACATTTTCCTCTTTGTGATCAGGATTCTTTTGAGTCAATGATCAAAAACAATCAGTCATGACAGCAAGGAACCACCCAGTTCGTCTGGTCTCAGTCAAGGAGGCAATTTGCCACTCACTCCATAGGTTAGTATTAGTTTCCACCAGGGCTCCACAGGCTTCTAACTACTGGTTGATAAGTACTGTGATAGGTCTGCTTTGTCTTACAATCGAAAAGACAGAGTAGCATCTTCCCATTAGTTTCCAAGGTTACCAACCACATCTTTCGGCCAGAGTGCCTGGTGGGTTTGAACCATTGACTTTTAAGGTGAGCAGCCAAACACTTTAACGACTGTATCACCAGGGCTCCTTACACCCAGGGAAAGCATGTGTCAGTAAAACCAGTTTTCAGCATGTGGATGGTCAGCAGACTTTGAGTGGCATATATTTATTTCTACTATATTAAGCTGCTTCACTCATTAAATATAATGAATTTAAATATATGCCACCCAAAGTCCGATGACCATTTTATATGGACTCCCATTAAAAAGGGGTACTTTTTGGCCCTAATAGAAGTAACAATTGATTCCGAACTAAGTGTTGCATTTTAAGTGCCGAAAAGTAATTAAAACCACCTCCACCTAGGTGTTCCTGATTATGAATTCTATTCAATGCCCTTACTTTCGAGTGTTTCTTTCTCCCCCACAATCTGAATTACACAATCGAACACTCTCCTTCCTTACTTTTTTCGGTCATAGCCAAAGATTTCCCTAATGTGCTTGGATATCTCTTCCTGAGGCTCTCCTTCGTCCTCAATGAAGTCGTCCATTTCAGAGTCGTACTCTTCATCTTCCTCCTCATCATAGTCTCGAGGTCTTTTGTAACCAGAGGGGAAGGGAAGCCTTTGAAAACCTGAAAATTGAAAAGCCACTCATTAAAAGAGTTTTTATCCTGCTGACTATGAAGTACTGACAATTTGTCAGGTTTCACCACTTTAATAAGTTGCAGTAAAATAACCATTTTTACAGATCAACTAAAACCACCTCCAGTGGGGTTCTAGGTACACAGATTTTGAGAACTCAGTATGGCAGTATTCTTTAAAACTCAGGGCCTGTCAGGTGGCCCCCAACATGGGATCATGACTACAGCTTCCCTGCTGCAAACATCTTAAAATTGAATTTGTAAGCAAATGCGATTATTTTACTGAGACATTTTAAAGACCAGAAATGGATGGGAGACTCTGGAAAGTGTAGGCACTTAGTAGCACCCCTGCTTTCAACTGTGGAAATAAGAATGGCCTCTGGACATTGCGGCCACAGTCTATTTGAGAACGATTAGTCCAGCTGAATTAGAGCATTTAAAGCAAGAAGCCTCTTGTTTGGTCTCTTTGTATACAAGGGGGGCTTAAAAAAGTTCATGGGAAAATGGAATGAAGAGATGATGGAATTTTCCATGAACATTCTGAAGCCCACTCATATTCTTCATCGTGCCTAAAAACAAATGCCTACTACCATGATCTAGCAGCTAGCAGGTGTCACCAACCAGTCCCTCGGGCTCCATAATGTCCAGTAGAAAGAACAGACACCTACGACCCCACTGCCGTCAAGTCGTATCCACTGCACAGTGACCCGAGATAGTATTTCTGAGATTGCATGGATTCACAGGGGTAGACAGGGACGTTGTGGTTAACAGTCTGGTGGCCCCACCCAGGCTCCTTCGCTGGCATAAAGATCTTAACCTGCCATCAAGCTAATCCCAACTCCTATGGAGCTGACTGCCCCTGTGGGCTTCCAAGGCTGTAACTCTTTAGTGGGGCAGAAAGCCTCATCTGTGTGTGCACTTACCATGTCTCCAAACGACACAGCTAAGTTTATGGTGTTTGGGGACATTACAGGTGAACACAGAAAGCCTTTTCTAGAGACTTTCCCAAACCAGGGCAGGCGAAACATCAGGATGCATTCAAGTGCAATCAAAAACACAAGGGAAAGGGTCAGAGGGTCTCTAGTTCTATAAAGCAAGGTACTCTTAATTTCCTATTGGCAAAAACATACTTTGAGGTTGAGCAGTAGTATTACCTTGGGTAGGTCTGTGGCCAGATAGCAGAGGTCTCATTCCATTCATCTGTCCGTTGCTTGACCGACAAATTATATTCTTGGAGGAAATTGTTTCCGAGACAACAGTGCACCTGGGCTTTACAGGAGGACCAGAACTAGCTGCTTGCCCATGTCTCATGCTGTTTGCTGGTCTAATGATAGTCCTTCCAGCGGAAACTCCGCCACTTCCTGATTTCCTAGGGCCGCCAACTGACCGCCCAGGGGAGGGCCCTGAACTGCTCAATGGTCGCCGAAGGTCAGGTGGACTGCTGATGGGCCGCCCAGGGCCGCTGGAACTGGCTGCAGGCTTCCCAGAACCACTGGAGGTGTTTGCAGGCCGCCCAGGACCACTTGTGCCACTGCCTGTCCGCCCAGAAGGATATGAGTCACTTGCTGGCTTCTTGGTCCCACTGGTGGACCGGTCAGGTCCTGAGCTAGAGCTACAATTTTGGCGCTTGGACCCAGGGTCAGAGCCCATGACGGGTCTGCTAGTTCCTGTACTGGGGCGTCCAGGGGCTGCGTGAGAGCTGCTACCTGGCTGCCTGACACCTGGACTCTTCACCTTGTTGTTTGGGGTGACTGTGGGCCCAGGCCTGGAATGGCTAGGACAGGAAGGAGGTTTTTTGGTTTTGTGCTCAGTAGCAGATTTCTGAGAGCCGCTGGCAGAAGTCCTTTGGGTACTTTGGGTAGAATGGGGCTTCCCTGCCCCATTGAAAACAGGTCTGTCCTGGCCTTCACGAAGGGTGGGCTGGGAACAATTGCCAGACCCTGCCTTGGTCCTTTCGCCTGACATGGGTTTAGATGATGACAAACCAAACGGCTTCTCACTGGCTGTGCTGGGTCTGGATTTCTTCTCAGCAGGAGGAAAGGGGGTTCCCTTAGAAGAAGGAACCTTGTCCCCAGAACTTTTGCCAAGTTTTGCGCCCACACTATCTTTCTGAGGAGGTGTCTTCTTGGATCCAGTTGGAGGTGGTCTTGCATCTGTCTCTTTCCTTTTTTGATGCTTTCTCTCCAGGAACTCTCGCTCCCGGAGTTCCTCAGCAGTCATCGGCCGCTCTTCGGTTTTCTTCACCACCTTGATCTCCACTGGCTCGTACTGCTTCTTCTCAGCTAGCCGGAGTAGATCGGTGAAGTTCATACGTGGTGGGGCACTTTTAAGGGGGACCTTTGGCTTGCTTTCAACTTTGGGAGGCTCTTGCTCTTCCTCGTATTCCTGGTCAGACTCTGCTTGATTGTATTCTAAGTATTCATCCTCCTCTTCCATCTCATACTCCTGGTCCGTTCCCTGGCCAGTGTGGCTCTCCATTGCCACCTTCTTCTTCGTCTTCTCCTCAACAGGAACCCCATTGTAACCATGGAAATTATCCTTGGTCCTCTTGGCCATGGCTCTTGCTTTCTTGTCGTGTTTTAGCTCAATTCGCTTTTTCACTAGATCTTCTTTTCTCCTTTTCTCCTCTAGAGCTGAAAGGGTAGAAATAAGAGCATGTCATTCTCTCAGCCCATAATTTATATAACAAACACGTATAATTGAGGGCAAGCCAAAAAGTCTTCATATAACCACAGAAAGCTTATTCAGCAAAAACATCAAAATGTACGCTACTGTTGCCTGGGACAGCCCTTGCCCCCCTGGACGAGTGAGCAGACACACTGTGACGGGACCATGCTTCTCAGCATTGCTGCTCACCACGGTGGTTTCCAGTGTTCTTTACATGTCTTCGCAATAAATAAAACAAACCGCTGTCGGGTCATTTCTGACGCACAGCAGCCCCTGTGACTATCCGGAGTCCATGGAGAAAGGTTATCACAATTTCCGCTGTGGAATCCCAGCCAGGAGTCACCACGCCTTCTGAGCGACACCTCTCTTGAATTTCACTGGCCAGCAGATCCCTGCTGGGCCTTGTTTTTTAAAATAAGAAGGCAGCTGTGCTAAGGAGAGAATGGACCTGGCCCCATCTACTGAGTGCAAACATATTTCAACACCATTTGTCTGGACAACACCTCTGAGGGTATGAACTAGAGCCCTAGCAGCAACACTCTCGACTGACCCACAGTTATAGCTACAGGTATGCGCGTGCATGCCCATACACAGCCATCCAGAAAGGAAAGCACATTGAGATGCAGTTACAGATACTTCTTACACATAACCAAACACCTTGTAAGATTGGTTTTATAGAATGTGAAGGCTTAGAAGCCGTTTCAAGGGATAACTCAGTTGGCTGGCATAGAGTATATGTTCACAGAATGTATGTGCTACATACCAATGTGTTGAGTCCTATCTAGCGTTTTAAAAGCTTTCAAGCAGTCATCTACGATACAATGACTGATCTCCATCCGAAACAAGAGGAAAGGAAACCAAAGAACGTTGTCTACAGGACTGACAGTCTACACAAATCATGTCCTCCTCTACTGTTGAGACCCAAGAAGTAGATGACGCCTTAGTATCATTACTGAGAGTTCTATCAGGACCAGTAGATGGATTTCTTTCTTTTTTGGGGGGTAGGGGGGTGGGGTGAGAGAAACACAAACAGAACTCGAATTCTTAAGAAGTCCAGGCTTACCAAATCAGTCGAGACTAGAAGACTCCCTACAACTATCATCCTGAGATATTTTGCAAATATTAAGCCAAAAGAAACCCTATGGTCACTTTTTAGCTAAACAACAGATAGGCAGATAAAATGACTATCACCCCTGAGTAATGAGCGCCTCTAAAAACAATCATCTATATAAAACCAAGTGGCAAGTAGCTTAAAGCAGATAAGAAGGTGAGGGGGCTGAAAAAGCAGAGGACTAAAAATAGTACAATCACACAGAAAGGATGAGAATGAGAACCTTGCGATCAATGTACCATATATACTCAAGTATAAGCCGACCCGAATATCACCCGAGGCACCTAATTTCACCACAAAACATGGCATAAAAATGTGCTGAAAAAACTTGGCTTATACACGAGTATATATGGTAACTACTCTCATGGAATGATATGGGGGGAAACTGGTAAATGGGAACCTAATTTGCTGTGCAAACTTTCAACATAAACACAAATAAAATGCTATATATTTTTAAAAAGCAGTATGTTTATCTGAATCAATGGCCGAAACATACCGAGACACAAGCAGTGTTCAAATTACAATTTAAGGACATCTAAGACATCAAATAAGGAAGTAATTTAAATAAGCATCAGTTGAGTCATCTTCACACATAGGGTTTTTCTATATGACTAAGCAAGTGGGCGACTTGGTTTTTAGCTTGAAATATAGAAAACACCAAAACCCAAGCTCACTGCCATCAAGTTGATTCCAACTCAGAGTGACCCTACCCGGCAGAGGACTAGAGACTTCCGGGTTTCCTAGGCTGTAAATCTTGATGGGAACAGACAGCTTCACCTTTCTACTGAGACACAGCTCGTGGGGTGGGTTTGTACTACTGACCTTGAGGTTAGGGGCCCATTAGTACCCAATATGCCACCAAAACAAAACCAAACCCACTGCCCTCCAGCTGCATCTGACTCACAGCAACCCTATAGGACACGGTAGAACTGCCTCTGGGGTCCCAGACAGCAACTATTTACAGGCGCAGAAAGGCAAGTCTGCCTCCCACTGCACCACCAGGGCACTCCTTAAGTACAGAACACTGTTGTGGCAAAGAAATGTACTAAGAATATTAACATCTACTTAGCAACTGTCATTAAAAATAAATGTTTAAAATTAATTTACGTGTCATTTTCATAATATAAAAATGCGTCTTGGGATTGATGGTGCTCGTAAACTGTCCCTATTTTAACAGTTAAGAGAGCAGTCTCAATAAGCCAAAATACAAAACAGAAGAAGATCCACAACAAGGAAAGGAATGGCGCTTAGGGACAAACTGGCCAATTAGAAGACAGCCACTGTCCCCTAAGCTTGTCCTGAAAGGGGAATAAGAGACAACATCTATACCAAAGATCAACCCAAGAGCACAGAGAAGGCCTGTTATGTTTTTCAACGATCCACTGGTTACATGCAAGCTGGCTGTGAAGGAGGCCCGGAGGTGCTGTGGTTCGGTGCTAGACAGCTAGCTGAAATGGTGGAAGCTCAAACCTACCAGGAACAACGTGGAAGAAAGGTACGGCAGCCTCCTCTCAGAACCGCAAACAGCCGTGGGCACAGTGCAGGGCAGCTGTACTCTGCTCTGTGCAGAAGGTCGGAGGTTTGGGTTGGCTTTGGTGTTGTGGAAGTGGAGTAAGGACACAGACACATACCTTTCCGTTGGAGCTCCTCTTCTTTCCTTCTGAGGAAAGCTTGTACTGCTGCTGATTGGACACCTTTAACTTTTGGGTCCTTTTTGGGAGGCCCCACTGCCAAACTGTACCTTTTCTAAATTTAAAAAAAAAAAAAAAAAGAGTAGAAGTTATAAACAATGATACTGTACAAATCTATGCAAAACACTAAAGTTTAAATGTTGACTGAAAATCCAATTCTGAAAAATTATGAGATACATATAACTTATCTTAAAGTTTATCTAAAAAATGTCAGGATATCAAGGGTTCAAATAGAAAGTAAATGTTTAGAAAATGATGATGGCAACATATGTCCAAATATGCTTGATACAATTTATGTATGGATTGTTATAAGAGCTGTAAGACACATCGGTACAGATAAGAGCTTTCAACACATGGAATTCAGGACAGATAAAACCCTCAGGAATAGCATAGTAGCGATATCATGTAGGTAGGAGGATGGTGGGGGTGGGTGGGAGGGGAACCCATCACAAGGTTGGATATATAGTCCACCCTCCAGGGGAAAAATAACATAAATGTGGGTGAAGAGAGACAACGGACAGTGTACAACACAAAATAACAACAATAATATATTATTGATCAAGAATTCAGGAGGGAGGGAGGGGAAAAAAGAGGAGCTGATACCAAGGGCTCAAGTAGAAAGAAAACGTTTTGGAAATGTTGATGGCAACATATGTACAAGTGTGCTTAATACAACTGAATGATGAAATGTCATAAGATTTATAAAAGCCCCCCAATAAAATGATTTAAAAAAAACAAAACTTGGGGGATTTTTACGTGTAAGGTTGCTCTGTATCATCCCAGGTAATCTGATCAGCGAACAATTCTGAAGGCAGTGTTAGGGCTGGTTTACAAAAAGGGGCCTGGACTGGGTGCCTCACAGGTCACCAGGTAGAACAGAACGGGTTCCCCAAGTAGCACACGCTTTACAATTCTCATCAAAAACATTAACCTCCCTCCGGCCAACAGAAACGCCCCGTTTACTGGTAAGCTTTCCAAGCGAGCAGAATAAACCACACCTCACAACCATGTTCTCTGCTGGCTCCTCGAATCCAGATACCTCTCTAGCAGACACTTCCGGCTTCGTCGGTTCTTTTGCTCGGAATGGGGAAACACCAAGATTTTACTTTGCCACTGGCAGAAGACAAAGGACAGACCATGGCTAACAAGCAGTCCCCAGAGGCCATTCCCTGTAACCTTTCCCCGCAGCTCCGATCTAGAGGAAATAGTCACCCCACACAAAACTCCCTTTGAGACAGCTTTCCGCCCCCCGCCCGCCCCAGCACTAGCACTCTCCTTGCACAGGCAGTATTCCTCTGGCCTTCCCTCTTTATGGACTTCATTAGGACATGACAAAAGTTAGGATTACGTTAATGTGAACCACGAAAGGAAATCAACTTCCAGGTTGTAAATGTCTACCATTTGAAAGTATACCTTTAGCACTAATAACACAGGACCACGGGTGAATCATCTCTGCAACCATTTTGTTGCCAGAAAATAAAAAATGTGACAGGCCCTCCCTCTGGCCTTGTTAAGCTGATGTCGAGGAGCCCTAAGTGGCCTAGCGACGACTGCGTTCAGCTGCTGATCAAATGGCCAGCAGTTCGAACCCACCAGTGGCTCTGAGGGAGAAAGGTATGCTAGTCTGCTTCCCTAAAGATAAACCTATGGGGCAGTTGGTAGCAGCAGGCTTAGTTTGAGTTTTTTTGTTAGGCGGATACTACTCGTATACACTAAACCTGTTGCTGTGCTATTGAAAAAAAGAAAATTCCGTTTCTGAGGACAAAAATGAGCTACTTAGGGACCCAAAAAGTGATTCCCAAAGGACCCAAGCTTACCATACCCACTCTCATCCAACTGATTCCAATGAAAAGCAACCATCTAGAGGGCTTACTACAAGGCTGTCGGATACGAAGTACCTTGAAAGAGGCTGGAAGTTCCAGCTGTTAGTCTACCAATGAAGCAGCTTGCCCCGGAAGCAGGTCCTAATCCAACCTGAAAATCCTGCCCAATAGCAGCGCCCAGTGTGACACACCCCTGGCAGGGCCAGGTCCCAGAAGTGAGCAAGCCTCCAGGTTCCTTTCCAGACACCTAGGCTCCTGGCTCACAATGAGGTCCATTGTAAATGCACTTGCAGATCTTTCCATAGGAAAGGGGGTTCGGGGTGAGGGCAGTCACCTCTCTCCCCTGTGGAACAGTTGGTGGGTTAGAACTGATGACCTGTGGTTAGGAGCCCTATGCCTAATCCACAGTGCCATCAGGCTCCTTTCCTTCGTAGATAGGAGCCCAATATTTAATATTTGAAAGACAAAACAAGGAGAACAGGAAAGCATTAATGCTTACCTAATTAGCTATATACTACAGCGCTGGTTCACAGGAAAGGACTCCTAAATCCAGAGTACAAGTAGCTCACCTTTCACTGTGGTAGGGGAGAGCCTAAGCAGAGGGACACAGTCCACCCAGGGAGATTTGGAAACAAAGAAAGGGAGTGTTTTTGTGAACAGGACGTTAGGAGGTCTTATCTATGTCGACCCTGGAGCTCACAGGTTCATATCCTAAATCAAGTCTGGCCTCAAGAGATCAATAAGGAGGCACTGACTAGTAGAAAAACGACTGAGACCCAAAAGGAAAAGCTGAGGCATGATTCTGTTCACATTCCACCTTTATGATATCTTCCTGGTGCACCACCTGTGGTACTCATTAAAAATAGACTTACTGGAAAAAAAATAAGACTTCGAGGTAACAAAATGATCTATGATGACAGGTTTACCTTAAACAACAGTATCCGTCAAAGGCTAGTTTTCCAACCCATATTAAAATAGGCAGTCTTAAAATGCAAAGTGTTTGTGCAGCACGTAAAGCCACGGCCTGGCTGGGGGTATGTGGACTAAGCTTCCCCACGCACTGACTTCAGAACACTGGGCCAGGAAACAGGACGCAGGGCTCAGAACAGAATCCCCCAAATCACTGTCAGCTTTCCCCCTCTCAGCAGTTCTGTTCCTGAGATTCTGGTCCTTTTAAACAGCTGTCATTTGAGGAGAAACCCACCTCATATTTAACTCAACCCTTCTGCAGTACTTTTTGTTTTACCCCGGGGACTGAAGGAATTCAACAAATCTTTAAGATTGGTAGTACTCAATTAAACACCAAAACAGCAGGGTGAGATCGGCACTGCGCCGGAACTAATGGCTTCGTGTGGGCTTGCTGTGGGGTTGGTGCAGGACGGGCAGTGTTGTACACAGGGTCGCTGTGAGTCGGGAAGGACTGGACCACACCTAACAACCACATAGTCCCTGTAGCTCAAAAGCTCAGATACTTGAAGAAAATGGCAGCAGTCTCTTAAAGTTTACCTCCAAAACCTATAAATCTATGGGCTGGATCTGGGGAGTGGGGAGAAGGAGTCTGCAGGCAAAAGATTGTTTTCAAAGAAATCCCGCCCCCTCCCCCCCCCAAAAAAAGAGAGAAATCCCACATCTCATCGAGATAGAACTCACCCATTTAAGTAATGTGGAGATGAAAATAGCTTCTAGTATGAAGAGACTTCAGAACGTTCACGGAGAAGCCAATGACCTTTTCATGATAGTCACAGAGTTGGCTAACTGTCACCACATTCTGAAACGGGGGCGTTTTCATCATCCCAGAACGAAACCCCGGCCCCATACTCCTTTCCCCCCATACTTCCCAGCCCTCTAAAAAGACTCAAGGTGCCATCAAGGTGATTCAGACTCTATGAAACTGCCCTCTGGGGGTTCTGAGACCACAAATCTTTCTCCCGAAGGGAGGGCTGCCTGTGCGTTCAAACTGCTGGCCTTGCTGTGGTTACACACGCTGCCAGCCCGCTAATCTACTTTCTGTTGCTATAGATTTGCCTGGTCTCGGCTTTTGATAGAAACCATGCAGCGTGTGTCCTTTGTGACTGGTCTCTTTCACTTAGCATGGGTTTACAGTTCATTTTTGTAGTAGCATTTCCTGTTATTTAATTTATTTTTATGGCTGAATAATATTCCGCTTTATATACATTTTATTCATTCATTCATGAGCTGATGAACATGTGGACTGCTTCCACCTCTTGGCTATCATGAAGAACGGTGCACAAGTTTGCGTGTGGACGTATGCTGTAATTCCTTCTGGGTATACAGCCACAGAGCTTAACACTGCGCTGGTGACACCTTTCAAAATGGGGTGGCAATCAGACAATGGTTTCAAAAAAGTTCCTGTATTAGATTACTTTATAAGGCAATCTCTCCCCCCTGCACAGGGATCTCCATAGAGAATCACATGTTTAGAAAAAGAAGCCCCAGGCTAGGATCCCATTATATTCTCTTTAAGAAGGCTGACTTCCCCCTGCATCAGATGGTCACATTCAGCTTTAGCAGCAGCACAGCAAGATGCACACCCCAATCTACAATCTGATTCAAGGCACCAGGCGCGTTACTGTTGAGCTTCATGAAAACAGCAGCACAAGAGTGTCTTTTATCCCACGTGTACCCATTTCACTACCCTGAAAGCCAACTCCACCATTCTGCTGCCCCCATGAATGGTCCACAGCAGTGACACGTGTGGCATCCAAATGCTGTGTTAGAAATCTCGGCAAAATATGCAATTCTGAAGCCAAAAGACCTAGAAAATTTACGCTACTTTAAAACAGATTTGCTCCTTGTATTTGCATAAAAGACAACTGTGCTTTCTAGAAGGCACTCGGCCTGCAGCTGAGTTACAATGGAATACAGATCTCCTGCCTCCCCCCAACAGGGTATATTTTGTCTCAATCCTAAATTAAGCTCAGCACTTTCATCTCCAGTCTAACCTGGATCCTAAGGGCCACTCCCTAATTTTCACCTGTCTCCTGGACAAGAATGCTAGAATGGAACTTCCGATCTTATCCTTCAGTACATTCAAACTCACTATTTCTCTAAACTATGCTGCAGATCTGTCTCAATTCAAAGATTCCAACACCTGTTGGTTCTGCCCTTGAAACTTCCCTCCCATGAAACCGTACACTGAGATATGTCACCAACAAATCTGAACAGGCTTACACTGTGTTCAGGGGTAAAGGACAACATTCCTCACGACCCT